GCAAGAGGAGGCAGCCGCAGCGTGGGGGGAGAGAAGCACAAAGAGCTCCAGACCCCTCACTCCCACCAGTGGCAGGACTCTGTGTGTGCGTACTCATCTGGGTATGTGCATCTGTGTGTTTGGGTGTGTGTTTTTAGGTCAGTGTGTGTCTGTGTCATGGTGTGGGCATGTGCCAATGTTTGTGTGTGTCAGGGTGCATGTGTGTATATGTCGGTGTTTATGTGTGTCTGTGTCGGTGTGTATCTATATGTGTGTATGAGTTGGTGTCTATATGAATTTGTGCGTATGTGTCGGTGTATTTATATGCATCTGTGTTTTAATGAGCATGAATATCTGTGTAAGTATGTATGTATGTATGTGGTAGTGTATGTGCATACATCCAAGCAGTCAAACACCAGCACAACATACAAGCACACTCCTGCAATCTAACACAAATATTACTTACAAACACACCTCTGCATTCAAACTCAAAAAAATATACAGGGGGGGGCGTGGCCGACCGTTCACAGAGATGGCCGCATGTTAGAGCGGCTCCGGCAATGCAGGCAGCAAAATAAGCCGGGACACGAGCGCCCACAACAATGGGGAACCCCAAACGGACGCAGAGCGCCCACACCAGCAGCGGGAAAGTACCCGCCGAGAAACCGGGCTCGGTTATGAAATTCTTCAAGGACCACGTCGGCCGCATGGCGGAGCGAGGAGAGATGAATATGGCGCCGGCGGCGGGAGACCGCCTCTCTAATCCCTCCAGCCCAGCTGCATCCGAGGCTTCATTAACCTCAGCAGATCCAGACATTAAGGAACTGCTTAAAAATTTGCCATCTAAAGCAGACCTCACTGCCATGCTGCAAAAATTGGAGTTTTCATTCCAGCACAAGATGGAGGGACTGGGCGCAGACATCAGGCAGGTAGGCCTCCGGGTCCAAGACTTAGAGGGGGATAGGGGACGAGTACAGGCCCAACTTACAGCCCTCTCAGACCGTATCGATGCCCATGACACCCAAATGTCACAGCTGCAGAGATCATTGGATGATATTGACAATAGGGGGCGCAGGAACAACCTCAGGATAAAGGGCCTACCCGAAACTGAGGCTGAAAACATTCAAGCATCCCTGCAAGAGTTATTCAATTTAATATTAGAAAAACCACCATCAGCACCGATCCACTTTGACAGAGCGCACCGCTCCCTTAGACCCAAAAGTAACAACGGAGACACCCCAAGAGATATCAAAAGAAAAAAAACAAAAAACACCCACACCACAATTCAGCCCTAAGCCTGGAACATAATGATACCCCCGCTATGGGACCTAGCCTCCATACTACCACTGCACCACACCCCATAAGGTCACACGGGAATATATGCTCATTCCCGGTTCCAGAAGATGTTGACAAACGCAAATGCCTGCTTGCCCACCGACACATGCGAGCCACACGCCAACGACACAGCACACACACTACCGCAGCTGTACCTGCTGCGCCTTAATAGACACCATACACACTGCCTTAGAGCCGGTGACACCTGCGGATCGGCCCGTAGCAGTACTAGACCTGGTACGGGAGAACCGCAACCGGCAACTTCACTGAGGCCCCAAGTTATCAGACACACTAATACAAATACACATCTCACACTTCCTGTACATAGTTACGTCCGGCACTACACGCTATCCGGACAAGGGAGCACACGCCCCCAACGGTCTCCTGCAGGGTGTAAGACCGGAGTCTTGATTTGGGTTTATACTTGTTTTTGTTTATGTTTATGCTTTTGATCTGAGAGTTAACGGTGTACTTTCCTTCTGCAGTAGAGGTTACCTACGAAGCGCCTACGTGGCCACTCTACAGTGCGTGACTGCTGCTGCCCGCAGCCCGGACGGGGGGGATCCACCCACGGCTAGAGGGACACAGACCACACAACAAAGTAGGTGCTCACACGAACACACCACCACATCCCACACGAATGGCCCTCAAGGTCGCTTCACTCAACGTTAAGGGACTTAATACCCCGAACAAACGTAGGCTATTAATGAGAGACCTAAAATCACGCAAAATAGACCTGGCCCTTATCCAAGAAACCCACATTCCTAGGTCAGCGTTAATAACCCTGAAAGACAGACATTTCCCACAGACGCACGAGGCGAGAGCGCTCCACAAGCGAGCCGGGGTAGCAATACTGGTACACAAAAACTGCCCACTCCACGTCACGGAGACACTAGCTGACCCGGAGGGCCGCTACATCGCCCTAACAGGCACAATCCATAGCACGAAAATAAGAATCATTAACGTATACGCTCCTAACCTACCAGACCCAACATATTGGGACACGCTCAAGACAATAATACAAGCCGGAGGGGGAGGGATAACGCTAGTGGGGGGAGACTTTAACGCTGTCCCATGTCCAGCGGTTGACAGAAGCGCGAAAACAGGCTCACCCAGGTCCCATGGGAGAGGGGCACAGGATAAGTTATTGCACACATTCCTCACCGACACACAACTCCTAGACGCCTGGAGGCTCCAACACCCAGACATACGCGACTACACATTCTATTCGGCACCCCACGGAACATACTCCAGAATTGACCACATTTTCCTCAATGGGGTAGGGATGTCCAAACTAATACATACTGACATAGGCAGTATTACATGGTCGGACCACGCAGACGTATCTGTCACATTGGACAAACTTAAATACTCCGCCACTTGGACATGGCGCCTTAACACAAGTCTGTTAAATAGCGACCCTATATGCGACGACACGCGTACTCTCCTCACAGAATACTTCACACACAACAACAAGCCAGAAGTCAACCCGGTGGCGGTATGGGCGGCTCATAAAGCGGTCGTAAGAGGGCATTTCATCAAAGCAGCAACACACAAAAAAAAGTGCAACACACGGGCACTGATAGAATCTCAGAATGTTCTCAGAAAAGCGGAACAACAGCACAAACACAACCCCACGGCGGACAAATTAACAGAACTCACCGCATTGAGACACTCGATTAGGAGTATCCTGCTCGAGGGGGTGGCACACTCCATCCAGAGGTCTAGGCGACTGTTCTATGAAAAGTCCAACAAAATGGACTCCCTATTAGCCAGAGCCCTACGCCCCCGCGGGGACCACAAACCCATCACGAAAATACGCACACTTACCCAAGGAATTGCGACAACTCCCCAAGAAATAAACAGGGTGTTCACAGAATATTACTCGAACCTATATGGGCAGACACCACTTGCACAAAACACGCCAGAACAAATACGTTCCTCACTGCGCACACTCCTAGCCGGCATTACACTCCCTGCGCTGACACACACCGATATCGCAGACCTCCAAGAACCAATAACACAATCAGAGGTAGAAAAGGCAATCGCGATCTTAAAAGGGAACAAATCCCCAGGCCCCGATGGGTACGACATAGGGTATTACAAGAAATTCAAGGAAGAATTGGCCCCCCACCTTACCTCTTTATATAACCACTTCATGACAGGCGGTGAGCCGGATGCGGACATGGCATTGGCCAACATCACGCTTATCCCCAAACCCGGGAAAGATGCCGAATTGGCAGCAAATTATAGACCCATTTCACTGATCAATTCGGACCTCAAAATCTACGCAAAAATCCTGGCGGCCAGGTTAGCGCCGATGCTCACACGCCTGATTCACCCCGATCAGGTGGGGTTTATACCCGGTAGGCAACTGTACGAAAATACACGCAGGGGGGCGGTGCTCACATGGTACATGCAAATGTCCGAGCGGCCTTCATTGGCCTTGTCCCTAGACGCGGAGAAGGCCTTTGACAGGGTGCAATGGCCATACCTGTTTGGCCTGCTGGAGGAATGGGGCTTCCCGGGGACATACATCCAGGCCACACGCGCCCTATATACCAACTTAAGGGCCCAAACCCTAATAGCAGGAGCCACTAAGACCCCCTTCCACCTTCACAATGGCACACGGCAGGGCTGTCCTCTCTCCCCACTATTGTTCGCTATTTCCCTAGAACCGCTCCTACAAGCCATACGCCAGCATCCACACATACACGGAATACGGGCTGGGGGAAAAACCTTCAAAGTCTCTGCATATGCGGACGACGTAATGCTGACCCTCAAAGACCCTCTGACCTCCATGGAATACCTGACAGAACTCCTAGACAACTATGGCACCCAAGCGGGTTACAGAGTAAACCTCACCAAATCCATGGCACTATCATTCCATCTCCCGACACAGGACAGAGTCACTATACAGAATAGATACCATCTGCCCACCACAGCCGACAACATACCCTACTTAGGGATCAAACTCACGGCGCAGCATGAACACTTACACGACACAAACTACGCCCCATTGATCCGTACACTTATAAGGGACCTGGAGCAGTGGACAGACAAACCCATCTCATGGCTAGGTAGACTCCACTCAGTTAAAATGAACATTCTCCCTAGAATACTGTTCCTGTTCCAGGCTCTGCCCACACCGATCAAAAGGAGTGACCTAACCACACTCCAAAAGGCAATAGACATGTTCATTTGGCAAAAGAAACGGCCCAGAATAGCTAGAAAACTCCTATACCGGCCCAAAAATAGAGGGGGACTGGGACTACCGAACTTGTACATATACTACCTAGCGGCGCAGACAGCGCAAATCGCATATTGGCACTCCACCCCGGACACCCGACGGTGGGTGGAACTTGAGACATCACTAATGGGACAAGATCTCCCACAATTCTACCTCTGGTTACATAGGGCACACAGAGCACTCCCCAGAGTAACCTGTCCAGCAATAACAAATTCCCTGAGAATATGGGACCACATAGCAGTCAAGTACTCTTTAAGCAGGTTCCCCTCCCCAATGTCCCCTGTACTTTGGAACCGATCCTTCCAACCGGGAATGACAGCAGGCGACTTTAGTGGCCTCGAGAGGGCAGGCATTCAGAGATACTGCCACCTATACAAAAACGTTCAAATAGTCACTTACGATCAGCTCAGGGTACAATCCCCCCTAACAACTAGGGATTTCTTCCGCTACCTCCAATTACGTGACTTCGCTAGCTCAAAAGAAGTCAAAGAGATAGCCACCCTCCCCCTCACCTGGTTCGAGAATATATGCTACCAAGAAACACACCCCAAAGGACTCATATCATTATTGTACTCACATCTCAGCGGAGAGGCCAAAGAATGGGGGGAATTACGTTACACAGATCAGTGGGAGACGGACCTGGGTGAGACATTAGAGGGATCCGACTGGCAAGATATATGGGAGGCCACAGCCAGAACATCAATATGTGTCACCCTGCAAGAACAATCATTTAAAACACTTTTCAGGTGGTACACCACACCATTAAAACAATACCGCATGCAGATCACTGCCACAGATCAATGCTGGCACGGTTGCGGGGAACGAGGCACCTACGTGCATATGTGGTGGAAGTGCCCCTTGGTACAAGCATACTGGGTTCAAATTATCAGTCTGAGCACAAACATACTGCAGAGGCCGCTACAGCTAGACCCCTGGGCCTGCCTACTCTCCAGACCAACGGTCGGCCTCCCACGCCCAGAGCAACAATTATTAAACATGATTTACTTAGCGGCACGAAGGGCGTTAGCACAGAAGTGGCGATGCCTGGAATTACCCCCGGTGGCCCTGGTCCTAGCAAAGATAAAAGACAATTACCTAATGGATAGACTAACCTCCCTAGTCAGACACACCACTAAAAAGTTCAACAGAACTTGGGAGTTATGGGAACAATATCAGGAAAACACGGCGGGTTGATAAGAGACTCAAGCACACACATGGGAGGGGGAGCGGAGGGGACACACGACGACTCTCGTCCGGGCTGCGGGCACGGATGCACCGACATACTGCACTACCGGACGCCAGGTTTAGTTCCATATATGTTTTATATGTTTTACCCAAAGGAATATTTCGAAATGTTAAATGAGTATTAGTTAACAACCATCTAATGCCATGCCATTCCAGGGGACATATGTACTTAGGCCAAGACTCGATAGACAGCCACGTAGAGGTAGTGTGCTAAAACACTAAATAGCAATTCAGCCACTGATGAGACTGGAAGCGCTAGAAAACAAGCACATCAGTTGTAGATCACTGCTCTTCTTCTCTATACTACTGAACCACTGAAAAAGGCTTCTGTGTAAGCCTATACAAGTATTAATGTATGTACCTCTATTGCGGCCTCTACGTAAGCCTATACCCTGACAAGATGATACGTTCATACAGCGGCTTCTGCGAAAGCCTTGGCCGTGTCACAAATGTGCACTTTATTATTGGCTATGAAAAAATACAAAAATAAAAATAAAAAAAATAATAAATTATCACACGATAAACATCTCCTGGACTACAGTGGCAGGCACGCTAATTTATTTTATTACTGTTTTTAAGTTCGTATAATTTCCCATGCATTTGTTATGATACCGTTAATTATCATTAGAACATAAATACACCAACTGAAGTGTCACATGAAACCACAGTAAGGTCTAAAAGATGAACTAGGACACGTAACATCAGCAACCCTCATGACGACAGACAGACAGCCGCAAAGATTAGGGATATCAATATGCAAACGTGTACTAACGCTTTACCCTTCCTTTCTGTACAACCAAACTGTCTGAATATGTAATGTGGCTTCTGCGTAAGCCTATACGATGTCACAAATATGCATTTCTTTTTGGTGAAAAATAAAGAATAAAAAAAAAATATATATATATACAAACACACCCCTTCACTCAAACACAAATACTTCACGCAAACGTACATCCACATTTAAAAGTGAACATTACATTCAGACACACCTCTGCAATCAAACACAAACATTACATACAAACACACCCCTGTATTAAAGCACAATAAATGTAAGCAAGAACCCCTTGAAACACCAACACTGTATGTTACACTATAAAACCAGAAATTCCGCAGCGCTGTACAGATATATAACCTAGAAGTTTTGACTTGGCGTGCCTTGGAAAAATACTGAAATATTAAGGGTGCCTTGAGCCTAAAAGGTTTGGGAACCACTGCTTTAAAGGAAAAACATAACATCTTGTTACACAAAAGCTAACAGGAGACAAACCATATGACTGATATCACTCGAAAAGCTGTTACATAGTTAGATGAAAAAGAGACATGTGTCTATGAAGCTTAGCCTTCCTCACATCTGTTTTTTGCATTTGATCCAAAAGAAGGCAAAACAAAACAGTTTGAAGTACTTTCGATTTTAGAACAAACTTGTGAAAAAAAGTTCCCTCTTGACCCCAGAATGGCAGTCAGATGTATCCTTACATCATACCCTACAGCTGAAATATTATATAATTGAATATTATGTTTTTGCAAGTATGTATCTAGCTGCTGTTTAAAAATCTGTACAGACTCTGATAAAACCAAGATATAGGTAATCAAAGAGTTGTTAAGATCATTAACTTGGTAATGAAACACTTAATATAGTGTAAGAGGTATGGTATACAAATCAAAGTGATTGGTGGATGTTTGGTGGGTACGGTGGAAAATATGGACAAGATGTTGCTTTGAAGGGGTGGAGTCTATGTCACACCTGGGAAAACTGAGTGAATGTATTTCGGGAAACTGCACAAATCAGGCACTGTTTTTTATAGTATGGGAGGGCAACAGACTAGGAGTGTAAGGGAGATAGTATGATCTTACAGCCATTTCAGTTACTTAAAGGGACACTATAGTCACCAGAACAACTACAGCTTAATGTAGTTGTTCTGGTGAGTATAATCATTGCCTTCAGGCATTTTCATGCAAACGCTGTCTTTTCAGAGAAAAGGCAGTGTTTACATTGCCCCTAAGGACACCTCCAAGTGGCCACTCCTCCGATGGCCACCGGAGGTGCTTCCTGGCTCAGTGCTGCACAGTAGGAGGCTCTGCCGTTCAACGTTCCCACGCTCTGCATGGATCTCTTGTCTGCTGCCTTTGCAAGCCCTCCCCTTCTAATGCCTCCTAGACTGTCTGTGACTGTTTAATCACAGACTTCCCAATGCAACTCAATGAGACGTCTTTGCAAGGCAGGTGCTTTGTGCAAATTGCTTCCTCTTGAGTTCCTGTTACCAGGAACTGCTTGAAAATTATTATTTATACAAGAGTAAATTTCTATTGAAATCTGCACTATAAAAAAAAAAAGGACACACTCTTCACACATAAAGCTTTTCAGCAGGCTAAAGTGCTTTGGGGGTCTGATGTGTTCCTTTAATTAATGCTTAACACATTGGAAATGTGGATTACAGCAAAAAGATACATCATAGACACTTATGATGAGAATGGAGTTGCATATTTTCAGTACCTTCAGGGATTTCCTGAATACGTCTTGTGCATGATGTTGCTCACTCTCCCTGTCTATCTATAGACATAGTCAATACAATGTAAATCAAAAATCTGCACACTTGCTTTTTCCACAGAAATCACACATTTTCAGTGATTGTACTACTGCAAAGGATTCTGGGTGGGCATATGCAAATTAGTTCAACAAAGAATCACATTTTTGCCTCATTCCATTTTAAACATGGATTCCTTTGAGTCTGTGTTTGCTGTATACAAAAACTCTGAAACACAAGTTAGGAAAAGATGCAAAGCCAGTGAACCACTCATGGACAGCTGTTTCATTGTTTTTTTTTTTTAATTCTTTATTTATAGGTTTTTCATTTGGAATCGGGGGTGGGGGGGAGGTGGGATACAGAAAAGAAAAGGAAGGGGGGGGGGAGGGCGGGTGTAAATTGAGACATAACAATATGTGAAAGCAAATTTTGGTACCAACGCAGGGTACTATTTGACATTTGAGGAGGTGTACGTTTGTACCGGTTTCGTGTACTTATGAGACAGTTGTTTAAGACTTCTGCTATTTTTGAGTTCCCCATCGGTGAGTTTAGTCATTCCTCGCGTTGTTGCTAGTCCTGTTTGTCCATACGTAGGTTTATGTCTGTCTAGGTCAGGGCATGGGTTAGGGTGTGGGTTGTGGGGCGGGGTGGTTTGGGAACAGGGGGTATGAGTGTGTCGCGGCCCGCGTGCCATCCCACGCGGCAATCCCAGTTGGGGGGCTTGGGTTGGTGTGTGCGTGGAGGGTGATAGGTTTAGTAGTATTCCTATTTGAGGTTGTATGTGTTGTTGTCTTTAGTGGTCTACAGGTGGGATGTGTGGTGTCTGCTTCTGTCATGTTACCATGGGATGGTCGTGTCCCCCTCCAGCCATGGGTCCCATATTTTATGAAATCTCCTGGGTGAGTCGTTGAGTTGTGCTGTGAGTTTGTCCATCTGCATGCCATCCTCTATTTTCTTAGTAACCGTGTCTTGTGTGGGTATGCGATTTGTTGACCAGACTTCCGCTATAGCTCGTCTTGTTGCTAGGGCTATGCGGGCGGCAAGCTTGTTTTCTGCTCTAGTGTATTGGTCTATTGGTTTAGATAGTAGGAGCATCCAAGGATCTCGAGGGCAAGGTTTGTTTAGGAGTTTAGAGATCAGTCGTGTGATGTCGTGCCACAGTGGCTGGAGCTTTGGGCACGTCCACCAACAGTGGAGGAACGTCCCCGTCTCCCCGCACTGCTTCCAGCAAGAGTTGGATAGGATGTGGTGCATAATGGCCAGGCGTTGGGGGGTGAGATACCATCTAAATAACATCTTGTAGGCTTGTTCTGTGTGAGTCACACAGATGGATATGGTAGCCATTGCCTCCCATATGTCTGACCAATCTGTCGCGTTGTCTGGGGACCCAAGGTCTGCTTCCCATGCCGCAATGTATGGGAGAGATAGTTGTGTGTGGTGGGTAGCTATGGTTAGATATATGTTAGAGATTTGTCCTTGTCTGTTGGGGTGCATTGCGCAGTCTTTTTCGAAGCGGTTAAGCTGGGCCGTGCCGGCTTGTTTTATGATTGGGGTCGCTGCGAAACTGCGCAGTTGTATGTAGCGAAAGTAGTCGAATGTCATGAGTGAGGATGAGTCTTGGATATCCGTGAATTGTATGATGTCGTTGTTTTGGTACAAGTGCCCTAGTCGGGAAATGTCCCTATTTTCAAATTGGGCGAAATGTTTGGGGGTGAGTCCCGGTGGGAAGAGTTTGTTCCTCCAGATGGGGGTCATGGGGGATAGGAACGACGAGAGTTCGAATTTGTCTCTCATTTTGTCCCATGTGTCGAGTGCATGGGTGATCGAGGGTGGGGGGGGTAGGGGTCGATGTGGCTTGGGTATCCACATGTACAAGGACGCGTGGTCCCGGCCAAAAATAATGTGTTCCAGATCTACCCATCTTTTTTCCCCTGGTGGTACATGCCAGTGTTGTATCTGCGATAGATGTGCCGCCGTGTGGTAGTGGGTAAAGTGCGGGAGCCCCAGTCCCCCATGTTTTTTGGGTATGTAGAGTGTGTTTCGGCGTACTCTGGGTTTGTGTCCATTCAAGATGAATTTGTCTACGGCTGTTTGTAGTGCCTTAAAGTCTTGTTTATGGATCGGTATGGGGAGGGTTTGAATCTAGATCTACCCATCTTTTTTCCCCTGGTGGTACATGCCAGTGTTGTATCTGCGATAGATGTGCCGCCGTGTGGTAGTGGGTAAAGTGCGGGAGCCCCAGTCCCCCATGTTTTTTGGGTATGTAGAGTGTGTTTCGGCGTACTCTGGGTTTGTGTCCATTCAAGATGAATTTGTCTACGGCTGTTTGTAGTGCCTTAAAGTCTTGTTTATGGATCGGTATGGGGAGGGTTTGAAATAGATATAAGAATCTGGGTAGGAGATTCATTTTGATTGTGGCGATGCGCCCCAGCCATGAGACCCCTAGGGATTTCCATTTAGTGAGGTCAGAGTGGGCTTTTTGTAATAAGGGAGTGTAGTTTGTTTTATAAAGGGTGGTGATGTCCGTTGGGAGTTGGATCCCTAGGTACATCATCGTTGTGTGGCAGATCCTCATCGGGCATATTTGTTTGAGTGTGGCTAGGTTTGGAGTGTCTATTTGTATCGGGAGGAGCTCTGATTTATTCAGGTTGATCTTGTACCCTGACAAGTCTGAGTATTCTTGGATAAGAGTTAGGAGCGAGTTTATAGATTTTTCTGGGTTTGTCAATGTTAGTAGGATGTCATCCGCGTAGGCCGAGATTTTAAAGGTTTCTCCCCTGATCGTTAGCCCCTCTATGTCATGGCTGGCTCGCACCGCCTGCAGCAAAGGTTCTAGTGATATGGCGAATAGTAGGGGGGATAAAGGGCATCCCTGTCTCGTGCCGTTTGAGATGGGGAATCGTGGTGGGGGGATGTTAGGTAGTAGAAGTGCCCCTTGGGGAGAGTGATAGATGGCATGCAAGAATGAGGTAAACTCTGGTGGTATCCCTATGTGTGTTAGCGTATGATAGAGGAACGGCCAGAGCAAGCGATCAAACGCTTTTTCCGCGTCCAGTGAGATGATCGCTGTAGGGATTCGTCTGTGGTTAGCCAGCCATATGAGATCTATGGCTCTCCGGGAGTTGTCCGCAGCTTGCCTATGTGGGATGAATCCCACTTGATCTGGGTGTATCAGGGATCTTAGGTATGGGTTTAAGCGGTTGGCCATGATTTTGGTCATGATTTTAAGGTCCACGTTGAGTAGGGAAATTGGTCTGTAGTGTGCGGGTTCAGAGTGGTCTTTGCCGGGTTTGGGGAGGAGGCAGATGTTTGCCCCGGTCATTTCTGGTGGGAGGTTCTCTCCCTTGAGTGCTGCATTAAAGACCGCGCATAGATGTGTAAAGAGCAGTGGGCCGAATTCTTTGTAATATAGGGCTGTGTAGCCGTCCGGTCCTGGGCTTTTATTTGGTTTGAGGGATCCCACTGCCATGGTCATTTCTTCTGTCGTGACTTCTTGGCTCAGGGCCACTTGGGCCTCTTGCGTCAGGGTGGGTAGCGTCGTGCCTTGTAAGAATGTGTCTATGCGTGAGGACAGTGATGGGCTGGTGTCATGGGGTTGGTGGTCATGGTTATAGAGGTCCATGTAATAGTCTTGGAAGACTTTTCCTATGCTAGTTGGGCAGTCTGTGAGGGTACCATCGTTCGCGCGTATCTTTGTAATGCGTTTAGCTTCAGTTCGTTTTTTAAGTCTGCGGGCAAGCATGGTGTCCACCTTGTTGCCCTTTTCATAATATTTTAGTTTGAGCCACATCAGAGCTTTGGCTGTGTCTGCTTGTGTGAGGGTGTTAAGGAGGTGTCTGGTCGCCGTAAGTTTGGACAGGGTGGTCGGGTTAGGGTTCTTTTTGTGTTCCGTTTCTAGGCGGCGGAGTTCTGTCATCGTTTCTAGTATCTGTCGTTGTGTTTGGGTTTTTTTGTGGGTAGCAAGGTTGATGAGTGTGCCTCTGATGACTGCTTTATGTGCTGTCCAGAGGGTCATAGGTGAGGTCGTTGTGGGTGAGTTTAATTCGAAATAATCTTTGATTGCTATGCCTATTTTGTCTCTAATCAGTTGATCAAGAAGGAGTATTGGGTTAAGTCGCCATGACCAGTGTGTGTGTATGGTCGGTAGGTTTAGAGTGATTGCTATCTCGGCATGGTCGGACCAGGAAATTGGTCCAATCTCCGATTTGGTGATTTGAGATAGTAAGTTTGGTGAAATGAGAAAGTGGTCAATGCGTGAATAGGATCCGTGTGGGTGGGAGTAGAAGGTGTAGTCTTTGGTGGTCGGGTGTTGCGCCCTCCATATGTCAATCAGTTTGTGGGAGGCCAGGAATTGGGCGAAGAGGGCGTCGTTTTGGTTTGGGCGAGTTCGTGTTTTGGTGCTTGAAGTCCTATCTATGGCAGGCATGTGTACTGCGTTGCAGTCCCCGCCCACTGTAAGTCGTGTGGCATTTTCAGTTGCTGTTGTGCGTGTAACTGTCCGGTCCAGTTGCTCCTCAATAGTAGAAGTTCTGTGGGTTAAGTCAATCAGGCCTTCTTTGATGGGTGTGAGATGCCTGTCAAATTCTGTGGTCATATTTGCCTTGATTTCGCATAGCAGCTGGCGGAGGTCCTCTTTGGTGAGGGGGTGGTTGTTGTTGCTCTGCTCATGTCGCTGGCTGCAGAGTCAGAATCATATTCGCGGCCTTCTTCTTCCTCCCGCGTGGTGCCGCCATCTTTGCGGCTCCGGAATATCGGAGCTACTTCTGCGCCCTGCTTTGATTTCCGCCCGCCCCCCATCGCTATTTAGTGGAGTACCTTGGGTGAGATACGAGGTGGTCGGGTGGGTGTCAGGGAGCCGGTTGCGGGTGCTGATTATCGCCGGTTCTGTGCCTTCGTGGACAGAGCTCTCCTAGAAAGCCGCCATTCGCGCCGAAAGCCAGGCGCCGCCCCAGCTGTTTAATTGTTAATGCAAATCATCTGCATGATGTAAACAGCAATAAATGTTTTGGTAAAAAAATAGGGAAACTGAGTTCCTAAAGCCAGTGTTTTTCATCTAATGGCAAACATTTGGGAGGTATTGTTGTTCAACCCTCATAACCACAAACTGAAAAAGGAAGTGAGCTAATTTAAAATGTTCCTTTTATAGCTGCTGCAAATATCTTTATCTTTTTTTGCTCAAAATTTTGAGAGGACTGTGTCAACGAATATACTCATTGTCGTAGCTTATCCGTTGAACTTAGAAGAGTGTCTCTTGAAATATAATTTGTGGTATGTAATTTACAATTTTACATTTCTTTATTAAGATGAATTAACTTTTATGTATTATGATTTGCCATTTAACACCTATGTTGTGTTGCTAGATGATTATATAATGACATACGTATATGCTTATGCTACCGCTCTTTTAATGAATGCCACTTCTTGAGAATGCCTACCCGCTCATTCTCATATTTTTTTATCGATTTAGTTTGATATAGATATTGCACTTAGTGGCACTACCACTAAACACATTAGTGAGTATTATTCCAAAAATATTAAGTGGACACCAAACATAACAATTGTGTTTTATCATGTAATAGAACGGAGTATTACTTCTAGCATGGATGGACCTTTTAATAAACCTTGATGCAACGCAATAGGAACTTGAATATAAACAGTTTTTTATTCTAAAGTGACATTTAAGTAGAGGAGCAAAAATATTAAATATACAGCCAATAAGTCCTGATGGAAATCGTGAGTGAGAATATCTTCTCTGCAAAGTACATACAATAATAATAATAGTATTAATTTAACATATAACATGATAATGATTATTTTTAGCATTTATAAACATTTATAAAACACCAGCATGCTCTGCAGAACTGTACAATTGGAGGGGTGGGGGAGGAGGGGGAGAGTACAATATGCACAGACAAATACAATAGATAGAGAGTGAGATCTAACTATTAAAGTTCTTTTATACAAAACTTGTAGCTACATAGCCTGGGAGGCTACAATCTAAAGATTAAAATGGAGAGCTGAGAGAAGAGGTAGCAGGGGAACATGGAGGTGATCGCAAGAAGAATTAAAGGATAATTGCAGCCACTTACAAAATGCACTTATGATGAGAATGGAGTTGCAGGTTTTCAGTACCTTCAGGTCAATACAATGTTAAACAAAAATCTGTTAAACAAAGAGCTGAGAGAAGAGGTAGCATTGGGAATATGGAGGTGATCGCAAGAGAGAATTAAAGGATAATTGCAGCCACTTACAACATGCCAAGGGAATCAGGAGGTAATTGAGTGAGACCTCAAGCAGCAGGGGATGTATGCTATAAAGTAAGAAGAAGTTCTTAGAATTTTATTTTTTCTGTTAATGTTTTGATAAGTGGGAGTAGGCTTCTGGCCTGGAATGTAGATAAGATACCGTTAGATTACATTATTTATTGCTAAATTGCTAGGAGGGGTCTTAATGGAAAGAGAGGGGATGGGTACAGCAGTCATTTATTGCATCAGATTGAAAAGATTACCAACCAAATTCAATCACATGCAATATTAATAAGTATATGTGCATGAAATATCTATAAAATAAGATCACTGAAAATAAAATAGAAAACAGCAATAACAGAAAATCACAGCGGTAAGCTACAGGTACAGGTGTTGACAATGTTATAGTAAAAATAATATTATGGTGACAAATGGTAGATTAAATTAACACGTCTGTCAGTACCTAAATGTTTACTGGGTGAAATATATAGTTACATAGCTGAAAAGAGACTTGCGTCCATCAAGTTCAGCTTTCCTCAGATATGTTTTTGCTGTTGATCCAAAAGAAGGCAAAAAACCTAGTCTGAAGCGCTTCCAATTCCAAAAATTCCTTCTTGACCCCAAAATGGCAGTCAGATGTCTCCTTGGATCAAGCAGCTATTACCCCACTAATTAGAAATTATATCCCTGTATGTTATGTTTTTGCAAGCATTTATCCAATTGCAGTTCAAACATCTGTATAGACTGACAAAACCACCTCTTCAGGCAGAGAATTCCATATCCTTAAAAAAAACTTTTCTTTGCCTTAGATGAACTCTCCTTTCTTCCAGCCTAAATGTGTGACCTTGTGTCCTATGTATAGCCCTGTTTATGAATAGATTTCCAGATAAAGGTTTGTACTGATCCCGAATATATTTGTATAATGTTATCATATCCCCTCTCAGGCGCAGTTTTTCCAAACTAAACAGATTTTTTTTTTTTAACCTTTCTTCATAACTAAAATGCTCCATTCCTTTTATCAATTTTATTAGCTCGTCTCTGGAGTTTTTCTAGTGCCATGATATCTTTCTTTAGAACAGGCACCCAAAATTGCACAGCATATTGAAGGTGTGGTCTTACCAGCGATTTACAAAGAGACAAAATTATATTTTCATCCCGAGAATTTATGCCCCTATTTATACATGACAAAACCTTACTGGCCTTAGCAACTGCAGATTGACATTGCATATTGCTGCCTAATATATGTTGTCTATAACAATTCCCAAATCCTTGTGTGTGGTTATCCCTAGTTCACTACCATTAAGGGTGTAAATTGCTTGTGCATTCTTAACCCCGAAGTGCATAACTTTGCATTTCTCTCCGTTAAATTTCATCTGCCATTTTAGTGCCCAGTCCCCCAATCTATCCAAATCCCTCTGCAGCAAAGCAATATGCTGCCCACATTTTATTACTTTACAAAGTTTTGTGTCATCTGCAAACACTGATACATGGCTTTCAATGCCTATTTCAAGATCATTTATAAATATGTTAAACAGAAGTGGTCCCAAAACAGAACCCTGAGGGACTCCGCTTACCACTTTTGTCCAGCCTGAAAATTTACCATTAATGACAACTCGTTGTACTCTATCCTTAAGCCAATGTTCTACCCAAGAACAAGAATATTCATCTAGACCAATTTCTTTTAGTTTGAAGACTAACCTATTGTGAGGAACCATATCAAATGCCTTGGCAAAATCCACGTAGATCACATCCACTGCAACACCCTGATCTATACTTCTACTTACTTCTTCGTAGAATGCAATTAGGTTACTTTGACATGACCTATGTTTCATAAAACCATGCTGATTATAGCTAATAACAAAGGTCTTCCCAATGAATTCCTGAATATTATCCCTTAATAGCCCTTCAAATATTTTCCCAGTTACAGAAGTTAAGCTCACAGGTCTATAATTTCCTGGCAAGGATTTTGAACCCTTTTTAAATATAGGAACAACATCTGCATTCCTCCAATCCTCCGGTACAATACTTGAAACAAAAGAATCTTGAAAAATTAAATACAGAGGTTCACTTATTTCCCCACTTAGTTCCTTAAGTACTCGTGGATGAATACCGTCAGCCCACAGAGCTTTATTTACATTAATTTTCTTTAATAGCTGTAGCACCTTGTCTCGAGTTTTCCAATCACAAGTTATCTGCAAGTTTTTTGCAGCAATCAATTGCATATCTCTTGCCATAGGATCATCATTAATATATACTGAAGAAAAATGGTTATTTAAAATTTCTGCTTTTTCCTGGTCTTCATTAGCTAATAAACCCAACTCTGTTTCCAGTGTACCTACACTTTCATTTTTTGTTTTTTTAGAATTGATGTACTTGAAAACAATTTGGGGGTTGGTTTTGCATTCTTTGGCTATCATTGTCTCATTTTCTAGTTTAGCCACTTTAATTGCCTTTTTGCAAGTGTTATTGGCTTCCTTATATCTTATATAGGATGCCTCTGATTTGTCCGATTTAAATGCTTTAAATGCCCTTTTCTTATTTTTAATCTCTTATTTTACTTCTCTACTAAGCCACATTGGTTTTAATTTGTTTCTTTTATATTTATTACCCAATGGTACATGCTGAGAAATGTACCTTTCTAATATTTGTTTGAATAGTTTCCATTTATCCTCAGTGTTTTTATCACTAAGGAGTTTATGCCAGTCGATATGTTGTAGAGCTGCCCTAATCTTATTGAAATTGGCTTTTTTTAAATTATACGTTTTAGTATACCCCACTTGCTTTTGCTTTTTTGAGTTTATTTAAAAAATTACCATATTGTGATCACTATTTCCCAAATGCTCCCCTACTTGAATGTTCGTCAGAAGATCAACATTGTTTGTTATAACGAGATCCAGACAAGCATCCTTTCTAGTTGGTGCTTTTACCAGTTGTGACATAAAGGTGTCATTTAACATATTCAAAAACCTGATTCCCCTTGCTGAAGTACTAGTCCCTCTATCCCAATTTATGTCCAGGTAATTAAAATCTCCAATAATTAACGTGTTACCTCGATTTGCAGCTTTCCCAATTTGCTCTAACAGCTGTTCTTCCTCATTAATATGTACATTAGGTGGTTTATAATAATATCCCAACCAATAATTGATTTCCCTTTGTTTGCCCCAAGCAGATATCTACCCATAAAGCCTCCACATTTTCCTCATCACACTCCACATGCCTAAGATTTGACTTTAACTCATGGCTGACATATAAACATATCCCACCACCCTTCTTGTTTTTCCTATCCTTCCTAAATAACGTGTAACCATATAAATTAACTGCCCAGTCATGTGTCTCATCCCACCATGTTTCTGTTATGCCTATTATATCATATTGTTTAGTGTATGCTATTTCCTCTAGTTCCCCCATTTTTTTTAAATAAGCTCCTTGCATTAGTAAGCATACATTTGATATTATCATGAGTCTTTGAGAAGAGCTTTCCTTTTTTCTATTGATGATTTGGTGGATGAGAGCAGGGCTCTGGATGTTTTCTGGGTTAGATGAAAATTACCTTTTTTTCCCCCCTTTTGATAGATGCATACATATATTAATTATAAAAAATTAACTTATTTTTTTATTTTTTTAATAAATCTATAAAGTAATGCATTGTGAATGCTATTTTTCCTCCAACACAGTTACAGCTGAATACAAATCTGAAATCTTATTACAGGAACACCGCAAGCATCATACCTTCTACAGCTCACTGTAGTAGTTATGGTGCGAGGAGTACCTTGCTTCCCCTTGTAATTTATTACCTGTGGTCTGCCGGACACTGTCCATGCCTAAGCAGGAGCTTCCACTAGCCCTAAAGGACTTAGCTCAGTGGTTGAGAGACATTTTTAATAAAGCCCTGCTCATTAATTAAAATTCTTTTAAAGTTACATAAAATATTTTTTCTGCATTATATAGTTTTTGATATTTTAATATTTAGAAAAAAATTATTTTAAATGCATCTTTAACAATAATAAATGGAGTCTGTAAGCTTTGATTTAATGTTTTTAGATAAGGTTACTAAATGATTCCAACCTGTTAGAAAAACTTTGCATATTATATAACTACAAAAAGTCTTATATGTTTTCATGGGGACTTCCTTAGATAAATATTTTGAAATGTTTTTTTTCAACATATTGGAATCATTTGAAAATCTAACCCCAAAATTATTAAATGCAGGTCTTAGTTGGCAAAATGAGAAGAATGATCAAACGCAAAACAAAAAAATAGAATAAGAGAACCAAAACAGATCTTTGGAAAAGCAAGGAAATTCACACCTATCATTTACCTGTAATTTAGGCCAGACATATGGACAGAGAAGTGTGAGAGACTGTAAATATGTCAAGGTTGAAAAAGATGCTAACAGAAAAGTTCTTAATAATAAAATTTCCAAGGGAGAAATAGACTTGCAACAAAAGCATATATTAAAAAATTAGAGATATAAGAAAAAAAGTGCAAGGAATATGAAAACCGTGAATAAAGCCCTGACCAAATAATATTTTATGATGGTAGAAGAGACGTTTATGGTGGCTGGTGAGAAGTGGCCTGAGGCTTTGAAAGTGCAAGGAATATGGAAACCGTGAATAAAGCCCTGACAAAATAATATTTTATGATGGTAGAAGAGACGTTTATGGTGGCTGGTGAGAAGTGGCCTGAGGCTTTGAAAGTGCAAGGAATATGGAAACCGTGAATAAAGCCTTGACAAAATAATATTTTATGATGGTAGAAGAGACGTTTATGGTGGCTGGTGAGAAGTGGCCTGAGGCTTTGAAAGTGCAAGGAATATGGAAACCGTGAATAAAGCCTTGACAAAATAATATTTTATGATGGTAGAAGAGACGTTTATGGTGGCTGGTGAGAAGTGGCCTGAGGCTTTGAAAGTTCAGACACTCGATGTGTTGAAAGGACAGAAGAACCTGTTTCCAGTGGCTGCCATTTTGGAAATTCCAAGATGGCTACACAGAGGAAAAAGACAGCACAGTGGAAGAAAACATAAGTAGCACTGGTCCTGGGGGCAACTAAATCGTCAGCGGAGATGAGGGTGGGACAGGTGGAAGATTTAGTGACAGATCCACTTTAACAGGCCGACACTTAACGTAGGCAAGCTAGATGTCCAGAGTTTGGCTTGGAATATATACAAAAGCTTATAAAATGTCAAAACTTTGTTAATACTCCTTTGATTAATAGGGTTTCACCACAACCTGCATTTTACGAAGGCATAGAGTGCTTTTGGGTTAATATATTTGCTGCTTAGAATAATGTTAAGATCTGCCTACCATAGATTGTAAACTTGTGTGAGCAGGATCTTCCTCACCCCTTTCTCTGATTGTAAAGTGATGCAGAACAAGTTGGTAGTAGTTATATAACTACTAATAATATTAGGCTGAACATGTAATCCTAAAAGTGATGTGGGACCTCTTTTCAGCTACAGATTTGGAAACCTTTATTTCAACTTATATTGACTATAGGGACATCCTTGCATAGAGTTCTCTCCTGTAGAGGTGAATAAACTTGAGCTACTTCATATCCTTGCTACTTGCACGCTCAATAAAGTAATCTTGATCACATTACGCTATTGCTCAGGGATAAGGATTTGGAACAATGTTTCTGCTACTTCTATCAGCACTTATGATAGATCCATACCATTCCATGAACCTAGATTTCTCCAACTGTGTGGCCTGGCTTTTTTTTTTTTATTTGAAAATCTCAACCCATAGGGCAATTTTTACTTTTTACTGGGCAAGATGCAATCCTTTTTTGGCCTTTAGCAAAACTGTACTCTGCTTTTTCCCTATTGCTTTTTTTTTTTTTTTTTAACTGTTTAGACATAGTTCTGATCATATGTTTCCTTTTGTAAACCTTTCTGTCAGCCAGTTTACACATATAAAATCTAAATATATAACATGATGATATATTGCTCCATGAACATTTAATAGCGGTTGAATATAAGTGATCTTGTCTGGCATGTTGTAGAATGTTAAACTCTTTTTTTCTAGAGGAAGAGATAGGCCTCTACTTGCCTTCAGACACCAAAATATGCCACAGTGGACCCTAGGTGTATTGAATTATATTTCATTATTCTTTGCACAATGTAGCTGTTAGGTCTTTACAGCAAAGTTCTTGAAGGTTATGAAACACCTTCATAATATTACCCTTAGTAGCCAACACTTTAGGGTCTGAAGGAACAAAGCAATTTAGTCTAAAGTCCCTCTTACAGACTCCCCCAAAACACCAAAGTTTCACTACAATGAAGTCTCAGCAACATGCATTGTGGCTTTGAAACAACACAACAAAAAGTAGCTCAAGACCTTGGACTTTTTCTTTTATTTGGGTCTTATGGTATATTAAAAAGAAAATGTAAGGAAAAGACGTTAGAGATGTAAAAATGCAGTCACCTGAAAGAACTACAGGACTACATGCAGGATTTGAGATCTATCATTCCATGTACTACACAGAATTCACCAAAATAGAATAAAAGTTTATGGCAGTTTTACTAACCTCCACTTTAAACTTTTTATTATTGAGATTTTAAAGGTACACTATAGCATATTCTAGCAATTTCTCCCACAACGTCATCTGGCTCTCTTCCTGTTGTCCATTTACATTATCTTTATTGAGGAGCATTGGAGACTGATGTACATGTGCGGGGATTGCTGAACACACATCCACATTCATAGATATACACAATACCACAAACTACTCATGAACATATACACTATAATAGCCCACATAAGCACGCCACAAATACAATACTACAAAGCAATTAGACCACCCATAAATAACACAAGCAGAATACGCCAACATAGGCATCTCGTTTCTAAAAAATAGGACTGGTACACCAAGGGACTTCAATATTTTGTTTTGGCACAGTACTATTAAAAGGTTGCCTAACCCTGGTCTAAGAAGTACTTGATTTTTATGAGAATTACTATAGGGTCTCCCTACAATTTTAAATAAGTAATTTCATTAATTATTATCGATTGATCTCAGCAACAGCATGCGGGTCTTGGACCAAAAGAACTGCATTGCTCCCCATCATCTTCTGTTTTTTCCGGCCGGTACAGAGTGGATGGAAGCTGCATCTGGATGTTTGGAGTGACAGTGTTACCTAAAAGGAGCTCTCGTACTACTACATTGTTAGTGTTTTTAATTCATCTTCATAAAGTATTTGTTTAATACAGATTACACTATGTTCTGTCTGTTTTTGCTGTAGGTTTATCAGAAGCTGAATTCACCATTCTGAATATTTCTATATTTCACTACCTCCTAAATGCTTAAGAGTGTTTTTTCTACTGATAAGACTGCATGTACCGGTATCTATATGCTTAAACAAAGTACTAGTTTATTTTAGCAACAAGTATTATATTTTGACCACATGTGCATCTGTCTTGTGCCATTTGACACTCTTTTGCTACATTGTTAAAATCTGTCAAAACCTGTTGAATATTTTTTTCCTTTATTTGTGTGTGAAGGGTGCAGTGTGTTTAAAGGGACACTATAGTCACCAGAACAGCTACAGCGTATTGAATTTATTCTGGTGAGTAGAATCATTACCATTTTTCGGAGAAAATGCAGTGTTTACATTACAGCCTAGTGATAACTTCACTGATCACTCCTCAGATGGCTGTTAGAGATCCTTCCTGAGTCATGGCTGCCTAAAATGCATCCAAACATTTAGTATCTCCCCCCCTCTTAATGCAGACAATGAACTTTCCTCATAGAGATTCATTGATTCAATTCATCTATGTGAGGAGATGCTGATTGGCCAGGGCTGTGTTTGAATTGTGCTGGCTCTGCCCCTGATCTGCCTCCTTGTCAGTCTCAGCCAATCCTATTGTGATTGGATCAGGCCACCACTTCTGATGATGTCAGAGGTCAGAAAAAGTTCACAGGCAGAGGGAGCAGCTTCAGACTTGAATACAAGTAAGATTTTACTATCTTTAGGGAGCCAAGGGGGGCTAGATAGTGGTTTTAACACTATAGGGTGAGGAATACATGTTTGTTTTCCTGACCTTATAGTGCTCCTTTAAGGGTTGCATGGTGTGACTGTGTTAGATGATATTTAGCCTATATATTGGGGGGTGGAGGGGAAATTGGAAAAAGAAAATATGCATTTCATTTCATTCTTTAAAAAAAAAAACTTTATGTCCCTTCTTCTTACCTTTTGCCACTGAGGGGGACAATGCAAGCCCTGGTGGTCCAGTGGTTTAGAGTAACTCTATCCTGCAGCTCCTCTTCTCAAAAGCTCCTTGGAGCATTGCCGTGATAACCCGCAGGAACGCTCTGAATTGCCTAGATCGTGGGAGGAACGTTCAGCCCCCCAATCCCCCTCTCCCCTCACTCTCCTGCAGTGAAATGCCTGTGGGCCAATGAGGTAGATATTTAATCTCCCCACAGGCCATGAAGGCACAAAGAAAAGCCAGCTATGCATGGGCCAGCAGAGGAGATCCTCTGAACTCCCCTGTTGGCCTCGGCGACACACCGAGTCTGATGAAAACTCACTTCAAGCAACCTTCCCCAAACCTCACTAACCCATCTCTCCAACTATGCCTTCATTGTAAACTCTTCTAGCAACCTACTTTGACACCTCTTGTGTCATTTTACCCCACTCCCCTTAGAATGTAAGCCTGTTTGAGCAGGGCCATCAGCACTTTCTGTTCCTGTACATTTAACATATCTTCTTGCAGCTACTTGTTTGTTAGTCCACCTAATTGTACAATGATGCATTATTTGTTGAAGCGTTATAGGTAAAAAACAAACAATATTTTTGGGGTACTTATGCAATGTGTCATCATGGTGAGTGTAAACCAGAGATGGAGCTTCACTCAGGCTCTTGTAACTTAGCTGTCACTCACTGGACCTCAAGAGTCACACACTGTGTGATAATATACCCATGGCAGCCACCATCTGGCATTTGTACCATGGACAGTCTGTGCTCCATCGCAGTTCTGTTACACTATTGAAAATGAATGCCAAGAGCCAAGCCATACTCTGGTCCAACACCTCCCTTATTCCTCCACCTGGCTGTATTGCCCAACCACAGATACCATGAGCCACTAGGCAATTTCCCAATTTTCTGGTAGGCTATTCCAGGCCTGGATGGATCGGTCGACAGACAGACAGAGAGGCTCAAACTCAACAATTAATATAGCTTACAAGCTTGTGGTGCACTCAGGCATTGTTTTTGCTAAGGAAACCATACCAATCCAGAAATCTGGTCACAGCTTTAAGTGCGGTCATTTTGTTATCTTGTAGAAACAAGTTCCTCTTTCGAAACATGAGCCCGAGAATGCAATGTGAGAGAATTTCAACATACTAAGTTATAAAGAAGAAAAAAAGGATTTCTCACCCACCCCGAAAATGTTTGTGAAGTAGGGTAACTGAAACTTTAGCTAAAAATGAAATCCTGCATGCATAAGCAATACATTGACAATGCAGACATACTGTACTGAAACTTAGGTACAATACAGCGATTCCTACACAGTACATAGAACTGAGTACAATACTGAGATCCCAGACAATGCAAAGAACCCAGCACAATAAGTAGATTACAACACAATACATGGAACTGAGCATAATACAGATATACTCATACAACACAGAAAACGGAGCATAATACTAATACAATAACTATATCTTGGCACAACACAAGGATAGGAGCTGGGTAGGCTACAGAGATACCCATACAACAGGCAGAGCTAAGTAAAGTGGAGAGATACACCACACAGAGCTGGCACAATAAGGAGATACCCATAACTATCCCAGACAGCCAGGGCCACTGTGGTGGATTTCAATCCAGAGATACCCACAATGGACAATGCATCTAACTCACTATTAGCACACAGTGCACACAGAGTTAATGCAGCAAGATACTGATAGACTCCTTATTACTGTCGCGGCTAGAGTCAGTAAGTAGCTGACATGGTTAAAGTGGCACTGTCACAGTCTGGGAACTCTGCAGAATTTGCATACCTGAACCTGTGCCTCTCTCTCGGGCACTGCCATCTTCTCCCGGCAGGACCTCTTCAGCTGTCAGGACCTGACATTCTCTGCAGTACTCGTGCATGCGCAAAAATGCAGTATTTATGGTGGATCCTGCAGCACCATGATATCTCCCAAAATAAAGCTGATTCCCTGCAGCCGTCACCAGTCCGCCCAGTGTCTAGAAGAGTCAGGGGTAAGAAATATACTGAGACGAAGTAGTCCCTTCTCTGTCTCCGTATATCTCTTGACTGGGTTAAAATGTCATTGCATAATAAGACCCAATGCAGACACTGAGCCTATAGGGGGAGAGAAAAAGATAGTATTATAAACTTACATCTGACAGGAACCAGGAGCAGCTGCCGCTGTGCTTTTCCTGTTTAATTTCCAAGATGGCTTCTTGCTTTTCTCTCCTGTGGGCACTGTAACCCCAACCACTGGTTCTATGAGACAGTAATGGCCACGAAGAGATACTCCAAATGCACGCCTCCATTCATAAACAGCTGGCTCTGCTGACCAAATAGCAGCTCCATGGGCCCTGAAATTGCTTCTTAAAGGAGACTAGGCATGGCAAAACCTGCAAAAGCAAAACCCATCACAGAATAAAAGAGACACAAATTTGTTTCCTTGTTTTCTGGTTTGTTTTTTTTACACATACTGCTGGTGTAAAATAACCTACCTTTCCACATTACTTTTTTGGCATACCAGGAATCTTACTGTTTCTAAACTATTGTAATATGTTTCTCTCCACATAAAAACGATGTGGCACTGTCCAACGGGCCCCTATGGACGAGCCCCCATTGGTTGTAGTAGTATGAAATGAGTCAAGTTGTTAGCCATGATACGTTTGTAGGAGTGGATTGATGTGTTGAAGAGGTGTGTACAATAAAATTGCTATTTCCTATCATAGCGTAGTTATAACTAAAGCACAATTATTTATTACATTGGAAATGGGCTCTGTTACATTTTAGGCCTCAGTTAGCTTATGATATGGCACATATTGTCTCTTCACTGGTCATAAGGCATGGTTACTTACATAAAAACTTATAGTGGATCCCATTACAGTAGCAAAATATTAAGGTATCGTAAGTCAAACTCACAAGCAATGACCTACAGTGATATTCACAGGTTCATGACCTAATCAATATAGAAACGTTAAAATCACCAATATCACTTGCCTGTGCGAGAGCTGGGGACAGGGCTAAGGTATAGAGGTTGTTGGTTTTTTTTGGTATAGTGACAGAGACAGAGGTGTTGAGTTCTGTTACTTACTTTTTCACTCTTCACTTTAAGTTTTCCTTAACACACTGATTGTTTGTAAGTGTGATTGGCTGTTTTGGAAGTGTTGGTGAGTATGTGAGAGTATGACAGTAGTTGAGAGTATTGGGGATGTGATATGGGCTCCCTCGGCGCTGGGGAAATCTCCCTCTTACAACGTCAGCGCTGAATGCGCATGCGCATCAAGAGCCGTGCGTGCATCCAATCAGTCCATAGGAAAGCATTTCTCAATTCTTTGATATGGACGTCCAGCGTCTTCTCACTGTGATTTTCACAGTGGGAAGTGCAGAAGTGCCTCTAGCGGCTGTCAGTGAGACAGCCACTAGAGGCTGTATTACCCCTCAGTGAAGCATAGCAGTTTCAGAAAAACTGCTATGTTTTCAATTGCAGGGTTAAAACTAGAGGGATCTGGCACCCAGACCACTTCATTGAGCTGAAGTGGTCTGGGTGCCTATAGTGGTCCTTTAATCATGATTTGAATAGGACTTATATGGCTTCAAATCAATACCAGCATTAACAGGTTACATCCACATGCAAGATTTGACCATGCACATTCATTTTCACAGTATAGGCAAATGCCTTCCAACTCCTGGAACCATAACCACTATGGTGCAATGTAGTTGTTATGGTGTTTAGAGTGTTACTTAAGTGTTCTAATTAAATTAATAAAGTATTTTCTACATTTGTATTAAATGCTGGCTCATGCTTATTTGTGACAATAGACCCTAATTTCTGTAGTTCTGAGAATTCAGATTCCAGAGAAAATCAGTTTCCCCATTATAACATTTTACTCCTTTCTGTTACACCTATTCCTAAATTGAAAATTCTCCTGTGAAATTAGTGTTAGGCTGTATTATACTGTACAAGTATTCCACGCACTGCTCACAACTACATTTCTTCTTGATGGCTTGTCACATGTACTGATGAAGCAATCCTGCCTTAACCATAAACTATCCGCTACCCTTTTTAAAAAAAAATTTTTTTACTTAACTGTGCAATTGTTTCATAGTTTTAAGCAAACTAAATCTACGTTGCAAACTCCTAGTCATTCTCAAATTGTTAAATGTGTTTTTTTTTTTCTCGTTGATCTCAATTTATTCTTGTACTTAGTGGATAAGGAAAAGAGCAAGCATCTAACGCGTAAATTACACTGGACACATACAAGTGGGTGGAGTACTTTGTGATCCACATTTGACTGTCATCAAATGTACAGCTTCCTCCTATAACACTTCTAACATGCAATTATTTTTGTTAGTTCTTCTTTGTAGGTCACAGAGCATGAACATCCAAGATGTCTATGCAGAAATCATGTACAGGTCAGTTTATTTCACTTTTAGTTAGAGCATGTCCCATTAGTTTTCTAGTTGTGAAAATGAAGTAGATTAACTGAATCTTTAACTCATTTACTACCAATTTAGGGATATGCAAAAAAAAACAAGTAGCCAGAATATATTTCGTTTTTTTGGGGTGGCAGGTTCTGGAAAGTAATGTGTACATTTGCTGTTGTTTTTTTGTGTGTCAGTATATATAGCATAGTTTTGTTTTAATCAAAAACGAGTTCACAGAGTTAATCTATTAGGTTAGTGAGCAGAAAACTATATTTAAAATAAATAATAAAAGGATTGGTGTTATGAAATACTTTGAAATTTTTAGTAAGCACCTCAAGTTAGCTTCAGTCGCCTGCATAGGACATATTGCCCATTCATATCCCATAATCCCTCACGCATTCTATATGCTTTAAAGTGAAACTGCTTATTATTATTCTTTTTGCATATTCGTATATGTAAAAATATGCATTTTTGAGGAATGAAAAATAAAATGAAATTATATAAATCCACACCTCTGTATCCTGTAGCTGGGTCCATCCATATTATCTACAATAAAAACCAAATAAAAAGTTCCTTGTGCTCTATCCCAAATCCCTATACACATTTAAATAACTGGAAGTTTTTTGGTATCACTCCAATGGCCATCTAAATGTAAACTCACCTGCCACACCAAGGCAGAATTTCTAATGTGACATGGAGGTATATTTTTCTAAAATCCCTGCATACTTATTAATCCTTAATAGGGAACACTTAGGGTGGGAGGCAGCATTGTAACATGTCTACGTAATATCACAGCAAATTCAAACATACAAAGTGCAGGGTTTAATTTTGTATGCCTCTATCTGTCAATCACTGTTATAGGGTCTGTCTTTTGTACTTGTCAGTCAGCATAGAGAACGTATAAAGAAGAGAAGAAATGAAACATTGTCTCTTTTTCTCCTCTTAAATTTTCGATGTTTGCCACGCTTTGCCCTGGCTGGACTGCTTTATGATGCAATTTGCTAGAACTTTAAAATAAAAAAACGTTAGCACATGTTATAGGTGATTTTCAGTTTTGTATTCAATTATATATATATATTCAAATATGTAAATTCCAGAACAGTGAAAGTTCCCTTTATTTTCCAGAACATTTATGCCCTCATACTGAAACGTTCCTACATCGATTGTCTCAAGTCACAGACTCTTATTATTGGCCTATATGCCTGACATGTCAAATTGCGTGTACATCTCATATAATATCTGAAGGGAAAATAAGGCACCATTGGTGCTCTTGCTGGGTTTGAAGTCCTGGTGGAAATAAATCATCAATTGTGATTACTGTGATATAGAAATTACTTTTTTTGCATTCTGCTTGTTTTTTTTTTTAGATATATAAAAATGGCCTAGAGCAGAGTAACCTTTTAGTAGTACTGTGCCAAAACAAGATCTTAGCGTCCCTTGTCTTTCTGGTTCTATTTTTTTAAATGGAGGTGTGTATGTTGTTGTGTTCTACTTGTGTTATTTATCGGTGCTGCAGTTGCTTTGTAACGTTGTATTTGTGCGTATGTGGGTTGTTATATTGTATATCTTCCCCAAGAGAAGTTTGTGATTATGTATGATACCTATGAATGGGCTTTGCATGGGGGCTGCTTGTGGAATTGCATGTGGATGGTATGTCACATAATGTGTTTGGTGGTGTGTGTATGTGTGGTGCTGCTTTTGGTATTGCATGTGAGGCTGCTTGTGTGGTTGTGTGTATGTGGATTGTCAGTGGTGTTGTGTTTGTGGGGACTGTGTGTGTGTTTGTGTGGGTTGTTTGTATTATTTGTATGGGGAGAAGTTTCTTCTGCAGCTCTGTTTCTATCTAGCAGTGTGAGTGGTTTTCCTGGGGTCTAGTGGGGGTCAGATGCCTCTTAGATGCAGGTCATGATCAGGATCTATGATAACTGCTGTGGACTGCTCTACTCCAATGCATATTCCCTTTCACAATTGTTGGGAGGAAGTGATCTGAGATCACTTCCTCTATGTGTCAGCCCCTGTATACTTACCCCGGCGGTCCGCTGAAATGTCGACGCTCCGATCCGGCCGTTATTTGTTTATCATTATTGTGTATCTCTGGCTCCCCTGACTTGGCTTTTATCTCTCATATTAGTGTATTTCTGACTTCCCTTGACCTTGGCTCTTTCTGACTATCCTTGAATTATTAAGTGTTCTTGCATAGCAAGACAACTTAATGTTATCTCACATATATAGTATTCTTATTATTCTTATTATAGCCAAATTTACCACCCTAACTCCTCCCACAGTTTTTACACTACATAGACCGTAATATACCGAAACGTGCGGATTGTTCCCGATTGGTGTGCTATTACTTTGTGGAACGTTTCGCCAAATGGTTCACGGAATATCGTCGTTCTTGTGGCGAAATTGGTCCCATAGGAATGAATGGCAAAATGTTAAAAACTAGAGTGGCAGCTGGCAAAAGCTGAAAAATCAGGACATCATCAGTTACTCCGCCCACTCCAGTTGTAGACTATTGGTGGAGGCAAGAACACTTCACACAAGTTCCCCAGAAATTGTAGCTTTTCTTGTTATTATTATTCTTTATCCGGCCGTTCTAAGGACCAATTTAGGGACTTTCTATCTGTGTGGGATTTCACTCTGCGTGTTGGGTTGTACGTTATACTATGTGCTGCAAAGCGTAAATTGAGGATTATCCCTAACCACCGGCAATCACCGCTCAGTTTCCACTGGGACTCTTGATAGGCCAGAGCCTGTTTGGCTCTGGTTGTCATGAGTGCCGTGCAAAGGTGACTCGAGTGCCATGCATTGCATATGTGCCATAGGTTGCTGACAACTGGTCTAAGGTGTAGACCAGGGCTCGAGTCCTGCAGGAACGCATGGGAACGGCGTTCCCGCACTTTTTCCAAAGCAGGAACGCCGTTCCCGTTACCTGTCCTGCAGGACCGGCCCTGCTACCTGCACAGAGGGGCCAGCACACGCTGTGTTCCCTCTCCAGCTATAACTCTCGCGAGACCCGCGGCTGTTACCATGGCAACGCTCCGCACAGGCGAGTCTCGCGAGAGTTAGAGCTGGAGAGGGAACACAGCATGTGATGGCCCCTGTGTGCAGCGGCTGGCTCCCTCCACCGGACCACCAGGCGATCTCCCCCCTCCCTGACAAGGTAAGAAGCAGGGAGGGGGGAATAAAATAAATATTATACATAAAGTAACAAAATGCTTCCCCCCCCCACACATCATCTAGCACTCACACACACTCACACACACATCATCCAGCACACTCACACACACATCATCCAGCACACACACACACACACACATCATCCAGCACACACACACACACATCATCCAGCACACACACACACATCATCCAGCACTCACACACATCATCCAGCACTCACACACACATCATCCAGCACACACACACACATCATCCAGCACACACACATCATCCAGCACACACATCATCAGCACACACACACACACATCATCCAGCACACACATCATCCAGCGCACCCATCATCCAGCACACACACACACCCCATCATCCAGCGCACACACACACCCATCATCCAGCGCACACACACACCCATCATCAGCACACACACCCATCATCGTCCAGCACACATCATCCAGCACACACACACACACATCATCCAGCACACACACATCATCCAGCACCCATCATCCAGCGCACACACACACCCATCATCCAACGCACACACACCCATCATCCAGCACTCTCACACCCATCATCCAGCGCACACACACCCATCATCCAGCGCACACACACACCCATCATCCAGCGCACACACACCCATCATCCAGCACTCACACACCCATCATCCAGCACACACACACCCATCATCCAGCGCACACACACACCCATCATCCAGCACACACACACCCATCATCCAGCACACACACACACCCATCATCCAGCGCACACTCACACCCATCATCCGGCACACACATCATCCGGAACACACACCATCCGGCACACACATCATCCAGCGCGCACACACTGCATTCATTATACACACTCTGCATTCACTATACACACTCTGCATTCATTATACACACTCTTCACTCACTACAAACACACTACATTCACTACAAACACACTACATTCACTATACACACTCTGCATTCATTATACACATTTTGCACTCACTACACACTACATTCACTATACACACTCTGCATTCACTACAAACACACTACATACACTGCATTCATTGTACACACTCTGCACTCACTACAAACACACTACATTCACTATACACACTGTACTCACAACAAACACACTACATTTATTATACACACTGCACTCACTACAAATACACTACATTTATTATACACACTCTGCACTCACTACAAATACACTACATTTATTATACACACTCTGCACTCACTACAAATACACTACAGTTATTATTCACACTGCACTCACTACAAACACACCACATTTATTATTCATACTCTGCATTCACTACAAACACACTACATTCAGTACACACACCCTGCACTGCACTATATGCATAGGAGTATAATTTTTATTTTATTTTTTTAAGGGGGGGGGGGCGGGAATCTTGGGTGAGTTCCCATACTTTTTACCCCAGGACTTGACCCCTGGTGTAGACTGTGTGTGTGCTGTGTATCAAGTGAACTATGTTAATGTATGAGCAACACTAACAGAAAGACACAAAGACTGAAGCCTTTTTTTGCTAGAACACTACACCTGAAACTAGTGTTTCACAAAATATACAATTCTACAATACAGAGGTAGTCAGCTTGGGTATTTTAGCCTGCATATTGCAATTCAGTTTTCAGTTTATCACATTACACTGTAGAGTGAATAAATCAAACAGTCTCACAATCACACATTAAATAAACATATCTGTCTACTGACAGGTACATAATAAAACTCACAACAGACTCACAAGGATTTTTGGCTACACAGGCAAAGATGCATTTTGTTGCTCCCCCCACCCCAGTTCACCCCCCCCTCCCAATTGTCCCTTAACCACCTCTTGAATTTCTTACTCCATTTTCTGTTTCTTATCCTCTCTTTTGAACATCTATAGTATATACTATCCCCTTTTTGTCTTATACTCCCCATTATTATATCTTATAGCCCCATTTTCTCTTTGTGTGTCTCCTTCAGCTCCCCCATGTGTGTCTTACTTCCCTCCAGACCCTTTTTGTGCCTCTTACATCCCTCCAGCTTCTTTGTGTCTCTTACTCTCCTCCCGCCACTTTTTGTGTGTCTTTCTACCCCCGCCCCTTTGTGTGTCTTTTCTCATCCAGCCTCTTTTTGTGTCTCTTTCTGTCCCAAATCCATATGTTTGTCTCTTTCTCCCCTTTCCAACCCAACTGTGTGTCTCTTTTCCCCCACCACCCTGACTCTTTCTCCCCCAATCTCTCCATGTCTCTTTGTGTGTGTCCCAGCCACTCCATGTGTCTCATTTCCTCCCCTAGCCCCTCCATTCATGTGTCTCATTCCCCCAGCCCACAATGTGTCTCATTACCCAAGTCTCCCATGTGTCTCATTCCCTCTGACCCCAATGTGTCTCATTCCCTAAGCCTCCCATATGTCTCATTCTTCCAGTTCCCTCATGTGTTTCATTCCTTCAGTCCCCCATAACACCCAGTCCCCTAAGTGTCACATTCCCCCAGTTCCCCCAAGTGTCTCATTCCCCCGGTTCCCCCATGTGTCTCATTCGCCCAGTCCCCCCATGTGTCTCATTCCCTCAGTCCCCCATGTGTCTCGATCTTCCTGCCCCCATGTGTTTCATTCCCCCTGCCCAATGTGTATTACTCCCTTTCTCCCCATGTGCCTCCTCACCTCCTTCCTGTGTAGCGTGGCCGAGCCATGGACCAGGGGATAGGAACTTCAGGAACCTCTCCCCAGTCTGACAGAAAGCAGTTCAGCGCTCCCTGAATGCACCTACTGTCAGACCGTGGAAGAGGTTAGGGAAGTTCCTGTCCCCCGGTCGGCCACTCAACAAAGGAGTGACTGGCAGGAGGTAGCACTATACTGTGTGTTCCACTCCTGACGGTCAGCAGGATCTTGCACCCCCAGAGCTGGTGTGTCCTTACTGTAATTGAGCTTATCTACAGTGAAGATAACTAGTATTTTCAAATTAGTACATGTTAAAATTGTTTTCTAGTTTGCATTGCAACTCAAATGAGCTTAAAGGGACAGACAATTTTTCTGAAAAGTCAGTGCTTACATTTGTCACTAAGGACACCTCTAGTGGCTGTAGGAATATCTGAAATACAGAGAAAAGTAAGGGTTGTTAATTTATATTGTTCTGCATTAAAGGGACACTCAAGACCCCTACAAATGCTTTATGTGTAAAGAGTGCTTTCTCTTTTTTCCATTTTATAAAAAGTACAGATTTCAGTAGAAAATGGCACTTTTATAAATTAACCTGATTACACAACCCTGTCTGGAGAACTGGTCCTGTTACTTTCTGATTTGGTTAGCTTAGTGGAGCTACAGTAAAGAAGCAGCAATTGCAGATAGTACCTGCCTTGCAAAGACTTCTCATTGAGCTGCATTGGACATTTTTCAGAAATAAAGTCAGAGCTGAAATGAAAGAAGACTATCGCTGACCATATTTTCCATTGTGCTCCGCAATCTAGCCTAAAGGTCAAATGGGTGTAATGCAAAATTAGTGCCATGGGTGTCATGAAAAAACAGATTGTGTTTTTTTTTTACTTTGACTTGTGGACACGTGTATATGTGTGTGAATTGCTAAGGGTATTTGTAGAAATGCAATAGAAAAGTGAAGTCTGAAACACAAAACTTGCTCTGTGCTCATTTCTATGTCAAGCTGGTAACTCTGGGATAGTTGTGGAATTTAGATTTCACAAGTTACTGTGCACAAGGAGGACTTTTCAAAGTCGAACTTGAGATTTGCAGGTTATGCACTATATATTATGAAATTTATATATATGTATGTATGTATGTATGTATGTATATATATATATATATATATATTTATATATATATATATATATGAGCTATTATATATATGAAAAACCGAGAGGCTGTTGCTGGTGCCCCATTGATGGGCCCCTTTTAACCTTGACTTGCAGAGAGTCCCATGAGGAAGAATTTCCCAGGTAAGTGGATTAATCTCATAAGAGTGGGCATTAGGTTGCTAGAAGAAGAAAATATGGGAAATAAGGCCTGCGCCAGAGAGACTTTACGTAAAACAATAATAACAGATAGTCCAAATAAAAAGAGTCTTATCTAAAATGCTCTTATTGGAGTCACAGAGTCTGTAAGGTGCTTGGTCAGGAACAATGTCCTCGCTGTCCTCATCCGTGTAGATCCACTCATATGCAAGAGATAAAACAAATAGAGAACCAAATAGTGCAATAAGTCCAATAAGTCCAATAATAAAACAAATAAAATATAAAAGGCTGGTTTAAAACTCACATGTACAAGAGCTATAGCTAGCTCTAGTGTAAAAGGCATACAGCGGTACAATCCCTGCTTATGGGATACGGGGTAAACTTCCTCCGTCAATGGTATGTTCGACACTCAAATAAAAAGAGACAACCAATAGTGCTCACTGGATAAAATAATGGGAATAAAATATATAAAATGATACTCACAAGGAAGGAGCAGACCAACTGCTCCTTGAAGATAGTGCTGGTGGTATGATCCCCACCTAGGATTACTTGGAGTCCAGGGTGATAAAAATGCCAGGTAAAAAACAATTTAGGATTACTTGGAGTCCAGGGTGATAAAATGCCAGGTTAAAAAAACATCTAAAGTGTATAAAAAGATAAATGGCACAAGTAAAAAGTGACCAAATAATCTTTAACATATAAAAATACACAGTATAAAATATCCACAAACGCGTTTCGCTAATACGGCTTTATCAATTCCAATAAGCGCATTTTAGATAAGACTCTTTTTATTTGGACTATCTGTTATTATTGTTTTACATAAAGACTCTCTGGCGCAGCCCTTATTTCCCATATTTTCTTCTTTTGTTGTACTTTAAGGGTTTTTGAAGGATTCCCTTAAAGGGTTGCTGCCCCATTTGTTATCTAGCGCTTACTCTTTTTTCTTGTTTTATTAGGTTGCTAGAGTAGGACCTGTCAAAAATGGGGTACATTGGCGTCGCAGGCCTATGAAATGTATGATCATATACTGTAAAAAAATTCCAGTCCAGAACTGAAGAATTGCTCTTTTTTGACAAAGATGAAATTAAGATTATTTAAGACCAAGACTGCTGGTATGTCTCTATGTGCGGTATACATTTGAGAGCTGAAGACATAGTGCAGAGTTTGTACTTACTGTGCAGCCTTGAGCCAGGAAGCCCCTTTAGTGGCCATCTGAGGAGTGGCCATTTGGAGGTGTCCCTAGAGGCAATGTAAACACAGCCTTTTCTCTGAAAAGGTAGTGTTTACATGAAAATGCCTGAAGGGAGCTATTATACTCACCAGAACAATTACATTAAGCTGTAGTTGTTCTGGTGACTATAGTGTCCCTTTAATAACTAGGCCAGATGAACCTGTTGACCTATGCGAGACACGAAACATAATACACAATGAGGGAATAAAAATGATAATATAACAAAGAACACAGAAAAGCCATTGTCAAACAAAGTAGAAACTGTCACTGCTTGGTAGCTGCTGTCCAACCATTTGGCCAGATACACTTTTAGCACGGTGAGGGCAAGAATTATGAACCAACCCTGTGGCATTAGTAACTGGTGAGTCTGTTGGAGAGGTAGTGAAACATACTTGGTGTCTGCATGAGAAGTAGAGCACGATGAAGGAAGAAAGTAACCAAAATCAAAGTATGTACAGTCCTAGCCATTTGGGGTGGGCTTAGATGTAGGTTGCTTGCCATCAGCAGGGATGAAGGGTTGTATTGCATCGACATTCCAGTGATGTGGTCTCTGCGCAGGACATTGTTGCTGCTTAGCAGAGGCGAGGCAATTGTAACCTGTTTAAATCTACTTTTACAGAATTGATTCAGTGGAGGAACAGGCAGAGGTGGATGCAGAACCTAATCTTGAGAGGACACTGGTAGATTTTTTTAAAGGCACAATACAAGCACATTAACCACTACCAACCTATGTAGTGGTTATCGTTCCAGAAGTGCCCTGCTCCCCTCTCAGAATAAGTAGTCAAACTGTGTAAGAACAGTTTGGCAGCTTACCTGGGGTCTTCCGGGATAGGGCCTGCAGTAGTGGGGGGCTAGGAGCTGTAATGTAGTGTGGGGTGCAGTGTGTATGTTTGAGGGCTCTAGTGTATGTGTGTGAGGGGTGCAGTGTGTGTGATTGTGAGGAGTGCAGTGTGTGATTATGACGGGTGCAGTGTGTTTGTGATTGTGACGGGTGCAGTGTGTAATTGTGATGGTTACAGTGTGTGATTGTAAAGGTTACAGTGTGCTGGGTGCAGTGTGTACATGATTGTGAGGGTTACAGTGTGTGTGATTATGAGGACTACAGTGTGTGTAGTGCAGTGTGTGTGATTGTGAGGGGTGCAGTGTGTGTGATTGTGAGGGTTACAGTGTGTGGAGTGCAGTGTGTGTGATTGTGAGTGGTGCAGTGTGTGTGATTGGTGCAGTGTGAGTGGTGCAGTGTGTGTGATGTACAGTGTGTGTGATTGTGAGGGTTACAGTGTGTAATTGTAAGGGTTACAGTGTGTGAGGGGTTCAGTGTGTGATTGTGAGGGGTGCAGTGTGTGATTGTGAGGGGTGCAGTGTGTAAAGGGTGCAGTTTGTGGGATTGTGAGGGGTATGACAGATCCTCTGTCTCTGGGTTACAAGTCTATTCTTTGGTTCGTCTGTTTGTTCACCTCAAAAAATCATTCCCTTGCTGGTTCGTCTAATTGTTCACCTAAAACCCCTTCCATCCCCTTTTCTGCAAAATAGCACTTCGGATACAGTCGAAGTAGTCGAACACGTGGCGGCAGGCATCTTATTTAGTCGAATGTGTTCAGTGGTGTTTTGTCGTCGAGTACATGGAACTCAAATCGGACATGCGACGGCACAAACACTGCTGAAGAGTTACCTCGCAGAGAAAAACGACCATTCATATAGTCGAACAAGGTTCGGTGAATTGAAGCCCGCGAACAAGAGAAACATTTTAACTATGGCCATTCACCATTTCGTTCGGTAATTTGAACGGTATTTCGACTGTTTTAAATAGACCGGCCGCACAGCCTAATTCTCTGTAACTGTTTTGGGCATGAAACCATGCGTGCTGTCGGTGAAAAGAGACTTCCAGGAATTTCCTGAACCCCTGCTATGGATATGTTGTTCACCCAGATCATGGCTATCAGGGGAAATAACTGATTTATGGAGATATGTTATGTTTTGGGGTGTTTTCTATACTTTGTGTAAAAATATGTTTTTTCTGCCTGGGGATAACTAAGTTAGTGCATTATCTACCTTAATTATATCACAGGCAGAGGGGAGGGATTGTGTGCTGTATGTGGATATGTTTGACATTTTTATATTGTTCCTATTTGTCTGTACAGTTTGTAATGCGGCGCTCCATCAGGTCTAGGGGATGTGCCTCTGGCCTGAGGAATTGTATATAAAGCCAACCTGTACCATTAAACCTTCAGATCCACCCGAGATCGCTTGACCCCTTACAATTGAAAGAATTTGGCATCCGATTTTCTAACCCCCTGGATCCTCCACTAGGAGCAGGATGGCCAAAAAGAAAAAGGGGCATGCACCACTTTGAGATTACTTTCCAATTCAAAACATATTTTGAAATTTAGCTTTGAATGATACAGTTGCCTCACCCTGAAGGTTGAAAAAGGTAAATAGGATTTCTGTGCATGTTTACCTGGTTCTTCTGTCTTATGCTTTCCATATAGGGGGGACAATGATCTAACCAATCAGTGTCCTATCACTGAAACTCAAACCCAATCAAGAGATTTACTGAGACTAAGTATGGACTGATACTTCTTAGAAACTGGTTGGAGCTACCGCTGTCTAGAAGTATCAATCCCTCCTGCCATCACCTGTGACAACTGCAGCGAACTGGCTTTATTCATGGAGGATCCTGCAGTCTCGCGGGATCCTCCATAAACTGCTCGCAATCGGTTTAACCCTAAAGATTGCCTCCAGTGCGGATCTCTAGGTCCCACAGATGGCATACAGGAAGTGTGAAGTGCTGTCAGGCAGGAGCATCGCTGATTGGCTAGAGGGGTCAGCTGACACTCTAAGCCAATCAGTAGTTCCCCATTGATAAAAAAAAGGGTATGTATGTGTATCACTTATAAAATGTAAAGGAGGAGTGGATCATGTTTATTAAAAAGGTCCTGTTAGGGCTACAGTAACGATGCATAGATTGCACACATTCTAGGTTGTTTTTTTTTATGTTTTTTTTTCTCTCAGTTCAGTTTCACATTCCTTGTGTTTTGCATAGAGTAACTATCAAATGTTTTTATGAGAAACTGATGTATTTCTGAGTAAGTTTCACTTTGCAAATCTCCTGAACAAATTGAGTCACTTCAGCAAAATATTTTGCTGTTGTCCACTTAGAAAACGTAATTTCACATTACAATATAATACAACATTTTTTTAATGCATGCTTACCACACGAACAAAGAATATGTATGAGATAACTGGTACAAAATCATTGAAATTAGTCTATTTCTGGGACATCTATGTTCAGTCTCATTTGACCTGTTTACTGTCCTGTTCAGCTGATAAAAGATGAGTTTTGTTTTACTTTTCATTTGTTTTATAATCAAATAATATAAGTTGATCTTTTTTGGAGTTTGTTATAAATTTTGTATACACTGAAACTCAAACTGCTGTTCCATTTTTAGATAACATTGTAAAGACAAACTCAAAAACCTAATTATATCTGCATTCTAACTCTATGCAGAGAATGTTGCCATATATAACTTTCTTAGTTCTTCAGAAAAACATATCAATTAAACTGTGAACAGATTTCTCTCCCTGCACCCCAATTCCTCTCCTGCAACTGTCATCAAAACAAAACCCTAAGCTATCAGTGAATACTATCCTAGCAACCTTCTTTTCTACCTCCCCCTTCCTTTTGTGTTACTATACCCCACTCCCTCTAGCATGTAAGCTCACTGAGCAGGGCCCTCAACCATTCTGTTCCTGTGCGTCCAACTCGTCTGGTTACAAATACATGTCTGTTAGTCCACCCATTGTACAGCACTGTAGAATTTGTTGGCGATTTATAAATAATAATAATAACAATCAATGGTATGCCTGTATTGCACTTAATTACATGAAGCATGGCCATCATACAAAACAAATTATTTAATTTGTTTATGTGTGAAAAAAGCAAAAAACTAATATTTGGCCAGTGTTTGTGACTAAGTGGGTACTAAAAAAGACTGGACATACCCCACTTGCAATAACTTGGGTTGTCTACTTTTGTAAATGATATGCCACCAATGGGGTAATTCTCATTCCTGGGCTACCATACGGTCTCAAAGGCAACATTACCAAACTGGCAAATTTCAATGTGAAAAAAATGAAATGCAAGCCTTATAAATGACTCTCTAACTTTCCAAAACACCATAAAATCTGTTCATGGGGAGTACTGTTTTACTTGGGAGACTTCACTGAGCACAAACATTAGTGTTTCAAAACAGTAAAACATATTAACACAATAATATCGTCAGTAAAAGTACAGTTCCTGTGTGAAAAATGCAAAAAAAGTCACTTTTACTGAAAATATCGTTTTAATACAATTTACCAGTTTGAAACACTAATAGTTGTGTTCAGCGAAGTCTTCCTAGTAAAACAGTACCCCCCATGTACAGGTTTTATGGTGTCTTGGAAAGTTTAAAATTCTGTGCACTTTCTGCCTGGGTTGTCAGGCATGTCAATCAAATTTTAATTAATAAAATCACATAATTATGTTAAAAGATTACTTAAATATAAACATAGAATTTTAATATATACACATATATGTATTTAAATTCTATTTGTATACTAGATATATATATATATATATATATATATATAATGTTATTCTAAGTGTATTTTGTTACCAATATACTGTATATATATTAATAACAAAATACAGTTAGAATAAAATTACATATGTATACATGATTTATTTTAATTTAAAAAAATTTTTTTTATTTATTTTATTATTTTATTTATTCATTACTCTGTACTATCATGAGCACCTAACACAAATATATATATATATATATATATATATATATATATATGTATATATATATAAATATATAAAATATATATATATATATATATATATCTTACATATATGTAACTTCATTCTAAGTGTATTTTAATACTAATATATGTACTTATATTAATATTAAAATATACTACGTATGACGTTACATATATATAAGATGTATATATATTATATATAATATAAATATTTTATATATATGTATACACACATTTATTTAATTTTAAACATGTTTAATTTTTCTTTTTTACACTACCCACCAGCAGGAGGACTGTCTGACAGCCCAGACTGTCCCCCTGCTGGCAGATTCACAGCCAGCTATAGGGGGCCATGTGAGAGTGATCACATGGCCCACGGGGCCTCATTTGCAGTGGGAGGGCTGCCTGGGCTCCGCAGCGGAGATAAGTCCACCAGAGCTCCTGGGGCTGCAAGCCTTTACGGCGTTCTATGGGCTTACAGCTAAGCCCATTTAATGCGGGACGGCATAGAACGCCATAACCGCGTTAAGGGGTTAACTGTATTTTACCTTATGGCGTATGTAAGTATGTAAGTACCTACACACCTCCTGAGAATGCTCTCTTCACATCCAGCGCACTCCTGATTCACAGATAAACACAATATCACTGCTGTATTTAACCAATTTAACCTAAACACTCACCTAAATAAAATAAATTCCAATTCACCAATCTTACTTATTTAAACATGTATAGATAAGCCTAAATGCCTACTTTCTCTTATCCCTCTTAACTATAAATAGATGGAATTCCCAATACCTGGCAATGATAGGGGTAAACAATACAATTCCTATTTTATTTTTTTTACCCCACCACAAAATGTTATGACATAAATCATTATATTAATACTATTACAGTCAGCTATTGCAAAGTGTTTGAAATTTCCCCACGCTATGCAATATGAGTAAGAGCACTTAAATTGGTTGTCTTGTACTTTGTAAGTCAAGTCTTGAGAGGTCTTACTTCTTTCAAAAATTGGCTTTCAGAGCGCTGTGATTAGTTGGCATATTAGCTGTTATTCATATTGCAAAGCATGAGAAATGTTCCCATGCTTTGCAATAGCTGACATAGTGTCAGTGTTCAGTCCACAGCGTAAAATAGTTAAATAGTTACATGCGCCCATCAAGTTCAGCCTTTCTTACATTTGTTTTTGCTGTTGATCCAAAAGTATGCAAAAACCCAGTCTGAAGTCCAAATGTGCAACAAACTAGGAAAAAATTCATTTTTGACCCCAGAATTTCAGTCAGATATCTCCTTGGATCAAGAATTTATTACTCCACTAATTCAAAATGATATCCCTTGCAACACCCTGATCTATACTTCTACTTACTTCTTTGTGGAATGCAAATAGGTTAGTTTGACATGACCTATGTTTCATAAAACTATGCTGATATTTGCTAATAACACTGCTCCTCCCAATGAATTCCTGACTATTATCCCTTAACAACACTTTAAATACTTTCCCAGCCACCAAAACTAAGCTCACCAGTCTATTATTTCCAGGTAAAAGTTTTGAACCCTTTTTAAATATATACGAACCACATCTGCCTTCCTCTAATCCTCCGGTACAATTCCTGAAAGAAAATAATCTTGAAAGACTAAATACAGAGGTTTACTTATTTCAACACTTAGCTTCCTAAGTACTCATGGGTGAATACCATGGTTAGATGAGAGCGGTTGAGGTTGCATAACCCTTATACGGTAAGTAGCCAAATTGTCCTGTGATCATATATGTAAAAACATAGAATAAATGAGTTTAATATCCCCCTCCAATGCAATATATATCTTGGCTGTGTCTGGGCAGAAGTGGTTGGTGATTAGTGATGTCCGGAACGGTTCGCCAAACGGTTCGCCACGGACGGCGAACATAAACATAAACTTTGACCCTGTACCTCACAGTCAGCAGACACATTCCAGCCAATCAGCAGCAGACCCTCCCTCCCAGACCCTCCCACCTCCTGGACAGCTCACTAAGAATGCAGCTTCACAATGAATATAAAATGGATGCTGTCCAGGAGGTGAGAGGGTCTGGGAGGGAGGGTCTGCTGCTGATTGGCTGGAATTTGTCTGCTGACTGTGAGGTACAGGGTCAAAGTTTATGTTTGTGTTCGCCGTCCGTGGCGAACCGTTCGGCGAACCGTTCGGGACATCACTATTGGTGATGTTAAATCATTATTATAAATGTAAAAGAAAACTGAGCATTACTCAATTTAATATAAGTTACAAGGGATTTTCAGTGTGTTTTCAATTGTGTCATCTCCAGGGAAGTGACAGTTCCTCTTTAATGAATGTTTTGCAGATGCAAACTAATTTCAATTTCCCTTATATTTTACATACAGAAACAATAATATAACACAGACCATAGTACACAAGGGTATTTAGTAAAGAGTAAGCTCTCAGGCCTTCTAAAGTGATTACTAAAGTAAATTTAGTGTGCATTTCTAACTGAAAAAGTATTTAAGTTAGAGGCAATTATCAATGTTTTAGTAAATATTGTAGTGATAATAATGTATGACAATATTTAACAATAGAATGTGATCAACCTCTATAAGGGTTATCTCAATTGAAATAAGAATTATCAGCTAATTTCAAATTTAAGGCCAAAATGACTGATTTGGGAAAACCTTTTAACCCCTTAAGGGGGTCATGATTCCATTTTATTCCAGAAGTTTGGTCCTTAAGGGGTTAAGTCACCTTTGCTTCCAGTTTGGCTATTCTGGTGAAAAATTTGAAATCCACATTGAATTCACTGTGAATTGCAAACAATTCTCATTTTAATGAATAACCCTGTCTTTTAATTGCATCTGTCTATCACATAAATTGGGAGGAGTTCCCTTTTAAGGCTTGTAGAGGGCCGCAGCTGCAGAGCACCTGATACCACAGAGGAAGCACTGTCTCCCAGAGGAGAGTGGTACGCTCTGATAGTTTTAAACATTTTGTCTTGGTAGTACATTTTTAATTAATACTATTGACAGGACTCAAAATTTTAAGGCCTGTAATTCTAGAAAGAACTTAAACATACTCGCCAGTGTAAGTCTTAACCTCTTTAGTCCCACACCTGCTCTAACAGTAAACTTAAAATTCACACCTCCCTTCGTTTCCGAAAGCAATTAATATTGCAAAAAATATGTAATTGACATGAAAATGTAATTCTTATAATATATTATAAATTTTTGCGCATGGAAAATTTTATTGTTATAATATATTATTCATATTTGTGTATAAAAAACACTGCAGTTTTTTAACTTCCATCACAGCCAAGGTATGATGTGAACCCTTATTAAACATTCGTCTACTGTACTTCCTTTTTTTGTTGTTGACATTTTCTCTTAGGGTACAGAATTGTAATATATACTGGTCTGGCAGCAGAGTTAATAATGGAACAACTTCAATCATTTATGAAGAAAGACAAACTGTTAACTATGTTAGCAATAATTAAAATTAAACAGTCTTGGAAAAATCCATTGACAAAATGACATTTTTTATATCTGTATCTAAACTTAATTTAAAAAAAAAGCAATTCCAGATAAATCCATTGACAAAATGACATTTTTTATATCTGTATCTAAACTTAATTTAAAAAAAAAGCAATTCCAGATATGTTAATTAGGGATGTCAAACCTCCCCACTAACATTTTTGCACCTCCCCAGGGGAGGCACGCCTGACAGGTTAAGAACCCCTATTCTGGGGGATCCATGGCACACTTACCAAGGATTAATTTCTACTTTGCAATTGCTATTGAGGGAGTGGGAACTTTGAGCCCTGCTGTTACCAAACAAAACATTCTACACTATTGGACATTAATTTTTTGTACTACATACAGTTGTGCTCAAAAGTTTGCATACCTTGGAAGAAATTGTGAAATTTTGGCTTTAATTTTGAAAATATGACTACTCATGCAAAAAAAATAAAACATTTTTATTGACGGATAGTGATCATATAAAGCCATTTATTATCACATATTTGTTTAGCTACTTTTTAAATCGTAATAACAACAGAAAACACCCAAATGGCCCTAATCAAAAGTTTACATACCCATGAATGTTTGGCCTTGTTACTGACATACAAGGTGACACACCCAGGTTAAAATGGCAATTAACGGTTCATTTCCCACACCTTTGTCTTTTTAAATTGCAGTTAGTGTCTGTGTATAAATAGTCAATGAGTTTGTTAGTTCTCACGTGGATGCACTGAGCAGGCTAGATACTGAGCCATGGGGAGCAGAAAAGAACTGTAAAAAAACCTGCGTAACATGGTTATGGAACTTTATAAAGAAGAAAAGGATATAAAAAGATATCCAAAGCCTTGAAAATGCCAGTCAGTACTGTACAATCACTTATTAAGAAGTGGAAAAATCAGGGATCTCTTAATACCAAGTCAAGGTCAGGTAGACCAAAAAAGATTTCAGCCACAACTGCCACAAGATTTTTTTGGAATACAAGGAAAAGCCCACAGTAACCTCAGGAGAAATACAGGGTGCTCTGGAAAAAGACAGTGTGGTTGTTTCAACGAGCACAATATGACATTTCTTGAACAAAAGAGACCTGCAAGGTCGAGTTGCCAGTAAGAAGCCTTTACTGCGCCAATACCACAAAAAAAGCCTGCTTACAATATGCCCAGCAACATCTTAACATTCTGGCACATTGTAATTTTGAGCGCTGTGTTTGGAGAGGGTTCAACAAGGCCTATAGTGAAAAAAATACCATCCGCACTGTGGTGCATGGTGGTGGCTTGCTGATGTTTTGGGGGTGTGTGAGCTCTAAAGGCATCGTGAAGGTTGTAAAAAATTTGCATTGTCTGCCATGAAGGCTATACATGGGACATTCTTGGACTTGGACTTCTGCATGAAGGCTATGCATGGGACATTCTTGGACTTTCCAGCATAACAATGACCCTAAGCACAAGGCCAAGTTGACCCTCCAGTGGATACAGCAGAAAAATGTAAAGGTTCTGGAGTGGCCATCACAGTCTCCTGGCCTTAATATCATTGAGCCACTCTGGGGAGATCTCAAACGTGCGGTTCATGCAAGACAACCAAAGACTTTATGACCTGGAGGCATTTTGCCAAGACGAATGTGCAGCTATATCACCTGCAAGAATTAGGGGCCTCACAGACAACTATTACAAAAGACTGCACACTGTCATTGATGCTAAAGGGGGCAACAGTATTAAGAACTAAGGGTATGCAGACTTTTGAACAGGGGTCATTTCATTTTTTTCTTCGTTGCCATGTTTTGTTTTATGATTGTGCCCTTCTGTCATAACCTACAGCTGAATATGAATCCCATAAGAAATTAAAGAAATGTGTTTTGCCTGCTCACTTATGTTTTCTTTAAAAATGGTACATATATTACAAATCCTCCAAGGGTATGCAAACGTTTGGAAAAACGTTTTAAAGCTCGTACTATGGACATTCGATACTATAATCCTAAATATTTAACTATTTATATACTTTTTTGTATATTGGAGCAATATTGAATTTATTAAATGTTCTATTTTTATTACTTTTCAATTCAAACTACTACTCTATCTCTATTATAATTAAATGGAGCTAGATTCAACATTTCACTTACTCTATCAGAGGTTGTTTGTGTATTTATACCTCATATTTTACTATTACTGAGCTACTCTATCTTTCCAGGAAACACAGCAAGTCACATTTGACTTAGACATTGTGACAGGCATATTGTGTATTCATTTGTGTTTTCCTTAGTAACTTCTGGGGTTAAGCCCCTTGAGACCCCTGGAGTCTCTATTTGGTAATATAGACAGTAGGTCACAACTGGACCATTGACATTAGTCATAGGACCCTAGTGGTGACCTATTGAGGTCTATGGGGGGATCCCTCTAGGCCACAAGATCTTCCATAGTCCCAGCAATTCTCTGCAACAGTCCCCACTTTGTCTCTGTATATCTCTTGACAGGATTGGAATTTAAATGAAATTCCTACAGAGTCATAATGAGCAGATTTTTTTTAAACAGTTTAACTCTTTATCTAGGATCAGCCAGGTTCCGCTCCCTGCCTTCACTATTGCTCAGTGAAAGCTGTGAGTGCTCTGCAATGAGTTAAGGCACTCAAGGCATTAGCTTATTAGCTAAGCATTCAGCTGGTTCTCTCAGCCAATGAGCTAGTCCTCTACTGCAGGGTTTAGCCCTCTAGAGTGTACAATGTGAGGGTGTCAGGGAGTGGTTATAGGTTTAACCACTATGGAAGATGCCAAAAAAATTAGAACAGTGGTGGAGTGAATGCTCTTGTGTTTGTATTCAAGTTTCCAGTGAGAGCATTAGTTTGAACCTTGAAATGTACATCTCTAATTATACTCCCCTATTTTTGTTTATTATTTTACAAAATATAAGTTAGAAGTATGGGTTCTCACAGTACCCCTAAAGCAAGTAATAATAAGCACTAGTTCCCTATTGTGCTGCTTACACTTCCCACTGTAGCTCCAACAGGGAAAATACCAAAATAAATGCAACAGACGTTTATGTGCACCAAACAGTGTCTCCAGTGGCGTACATACCGTGGTTGCAGGTGTCGCAGCTGCGACCAGAGCCATCACTCAAGGGGGCCCGGCTGCCCTGCGACCGGGTACCCACTTCCAGCCTGTGCGGCAAACCGCCGGGGCCTCCGTTCAAGGGTCAGGTGGCCCATGCTGTTAGGGCCACCCGATGGAGATGGATTTTAAGGGGGCCCGGTCAGCGCTGCGGTGCTTTAACAGCACAACCGCACCCCCTGTGATGACATCACTGCTGGGAGAAAGTGACTGCCTGTCACTCCTCCCAGCTATCACACAGAGCCCGCGCAAAAGGAAGCAGAGGAGGGAGTCAGAGTGGAATCTCTTTCTCCCATCAACCTGAGCCACCACTGGACCCTGGGGAAAGTCACCCTCCTGCACCTAAAAGGTAGGAAACAGGAGGGTGACTTATACATTTTGTGTGTGTGTGTGTGTGTGTGTGTTTGTATGTGTCTTTGTATGTATGTGTGTGTGTCTGTCTGTCTGTATGTATGTGTCTGTGTGTCTGTCTGTAGGTATGTGTGCCTGTCTGTTTATATGTATGTATGTATGTATGTGTCTTTGTGTGTATGTGTGCCTGTCTGTTTGTATGTGTCTTTGTATGTATGTGTGCCTGTCTGTATGTATGTGTCTGTGTCTATGTGTGTGTTGTCTGTATGTATGTGTGTGTGTGTTGTCTGTATGTATGTGTGCCTGTCTGTTTGTATGTATGTGTATGTATGTGTCTTTGTATGTGTGTGTGCCTGTCTGTGTCTGTGTGTCGGTCTGAATGTATGTTTGTGTGTATGTGTGAGTACCTGTCTGTTTGTATTTGTCTGTCTGTATGTGTCTATGTGTGTGTGTGTGTGTCTCTCTATGTATGTTTGTGTGTCTGTATATATGTGTGTGTGTCGGGGGGAAGTGGGAGGAAGAGGGAGGGGGGAACCCACGGATCAGTTTTGCACTGGGGCGCCATGGATTGTGTGTACGCCACTGAGTGCCTCCACACTTTTATTGAAGGATCAAGTGTCACAGTAAATGTTTTGGCTACAACCCCTTTTCAATGCATCTTAAGTAGATGCAAGTTTACTTGGCAAGGGCTCACACGTGTCATCTTAAGATAAACATACTGCAAGCACTCTTTTTTCAATGATAGATCACAACTCCCTTTTTTCTACAATGCCAATCATTTAGTACAAATTATTACTAAAGATGCTTCAAGTACAGGATAGGGTGCTAAGATCACACCACAAAAGAATTATGGAACAGAAACGATTGTCTTCAGGGAATCAAAATCACTCCTGAGAGCTCTTTACTATTTTCATCCTCTCCTCTCCTAAACCAGTGGATACAAATAAGGTCAGACAATGATACAACCATTTCTTACATAAATCAACAAGGTGGCACAAGATCCATTTGTCTGGTGATACTAGCAGGAAAGATTATGAGGTGGTCAGAATGTCTTCTCCTGGGCATAAATGCAGTCCACATAAAAGTTTCAGATGTTTCAAATGTCCTGAACAGAACAAAAAGTACCAAAGTCAGGATAACAAACAAATTACAGAAATAGACTTATAGACTCCAAAGAAAACAAGAAGCTAAACAGATTTGGTTCTCAAGATTGATAACCCAGAAGTATATGCACTTTTGGTCTGGGGAAAATTACAACTTGGCGTTTATTTTTCCTCGAATCAAGAAATGTACTTTGAGAGACACAAAAAAATTACGCAAATGTGAAATAGAAAAGAATGCAACAAGTACTACTCCTGCTCCTCAATATCAGTCTACCGAAAGTTGTCAACGTGTAATTGTATATCGTACCCTGTGATTGTGATTGTTTGCTACTGCCACTGTATGACCTTAACACCCGATTGACTTTCTTCCCTTCCCTGTTTTCTACTTCTGTAACCCCCACTTGAACTTGAAAACAACTGATAAATAAAGATTGTCAAAAAATAAATAAAAAAATCAAGCTGTGGAACTAGCAACACTTTAATTCTTGCCCAGGAGATCTTGGTTCATGAATCATATAGATATGTTCAAAGTGAAATATTGGATTCTTCAGTCAGATGAGCTTCAGGAGCAGGAGATTAATCAACAGTTCATTCAAAGAAAGCTTGGCTTCTAAAAGGTTCCTCTTATAGTCAGCGGGCTTATACCTTCTTCTGGCCTTAAATCAATGATTACTTGATTAATCAGAGATATCTCCAGAGACCATGAGACAAATTCAATTTATTTTTGAAATTGAGAGGGTATTATTACATATGTTGTTCTATGAGATGTAAGGTTATACAGAAGAGTGTTCATTCTGCCATTTGAACTTTGACAAATGTATAAGGAATTGAGTGCTGATGCCAATCAGATTTTATTTTTGTAACAATGAGCTAAGATGAAGGTGCCAGGTTCATGCTATAAAGAAGATTATATTCCTGAATTTCTTTTTATTTTTCATATTTAAAACCACTTAAACATTAAAAAATAAACATAATATTAACACTCTTAGGAATTTATAGTTCCCTTTTAAAACCTCCCAACTAAACTTTACACAGATGGGTCCTGTAAAATAAAGGAGAGGACATATTTCTCCTTGTGCCCCACCCTTGGGCAATAGAGGACTTGGAGGCTATGAAATCACAAAAATGGTCCTGCTGCCCCTAGACAGCAGAAGCTAGTGGGGAATGCTAATTTTAAACCACGGGGAACCTAGCATACCTTACAGTCCCTGCCCTGTGCAACAGCAGAGGGCTATTATACCAAACCTCACCTGTCCTAGTTCTGCAACCTCCTTCTACAATTCCACCCTCTCTTCTCAACTAGACATCATGGCACCTTTTACATTTAAACGCCGCAGGCCCCCCCAACAACAACCCTGGCACACCAAGCTCACTCGATACCTCCAACAATGCTCCAGAACTGCTGAACGCTGTTGGAGAAAGTCTCACTGTCTATCTGACTTTCTCCACTATAAATTTATGCTGAGCTCATACAGCTTGGCTCTTTCCTCTGCAAAAGTTAATTACTTCAACACCCTCATAACCACACTCTCCCGCGAATCCAAACGACTATTTCACACATTTAAGTCTCTTCTTCGCCCTGCTGTTCCTCCTCCACCTACTAACTTGACCGCCTCAGACTTTGCAACTCACTTCACTGACAAGATCTCTACAATCAGAGAAGAGATCTCTCATCTTTCTTCTTCCTCTTACAATACTTCCCCTAACTTCACTCCCTCTGCTGTTCTATGTTCATTCACATGAACCTACATTGGAAGAAGTTTCTGCTCTGCTCCAGTCCTCCCGCCCCACCACCTGCTCCCTAGATCCAATTCCCTCGCATCTCATCCATACTCTGTCTTCTTCTCTTTCTCCACCTCTCACTAAAATCCTTAATCTCGCTCTCTCCTTTGGTATATTTCCATTGCCCTTCAAACATGCAACTGTAACCCCGATTCTAAAGAAGCCCAATCTTGACCCTAACTCCCCATTCAACTATCGTCCTATCTCGCTACTGCCTTTTGCATACGAGATCCTTGAAAAAATTGTGTATGCGAAATTGACAGACTTTCTCGAGTCCAACTCTCTGCTAGACCCGCTTCAGTCTGGTTTCCGCGCTAAGCACTCTGTGGAAATGGCACTGACCAAAGTATCCAATGATCTACTCGCTGCAAAATCTCGTGGTCACTACTCTATCCTAATTCTCCTTGACCTGTCTGCGGCTTTTGACACTGTTGATCATCAACAGCTTCTTCTCATCCTCCGCAATATCGGTCTACAAGATACTGCTCTCTCCTGGTGCTCCTCCTACCTCTCCCAGCGCTCTTTCAGTGTTTCTTTCTCTGGCTCTGCTTCTTCTCCCCAACTCCTCTCTGTTGGTATCCCCCAAGGTTCAGTCCTTGGTCCCCTACTGTTCTCCATCTATACTGCCTCCCTTGGTAAACTCATTAGCTCCTTTGGCTTCCAATATCATTTCTTTGCAGATGACACGCAAATCTACCTGTCCTCTCCTGATCTCTCCCCGTCCCTCTTGACTAGTGTCTCTGACTGCCTCTCTGCTGTTTCTAACTGGATGGCTGCCCACTTCCTTAAACTAAACTTGACCAAAACTGAAATTCTGGTCTTTCCTCCCTCAAGTGTTGTTACTCCTGTGTCTGTCTCCCTCCAAGTCAACGGTGCTACCATCAGCTCCACCACAGGCTCGCTGCCTAGGTGTTCTCTTTGACTCCGACCTCTCCTTCAAGCCTCATATTCAATCTATCGCCAAATCCTGTCATTTCCATCTAAAAAACATTGCGCGCATCCGCCCCTACTTAACGCCAGATGCGACTAAGGTGTTGGTCCATTCCACTGTCCTTTCTCGCCTTGACTACTGTAATCCGCTTCTCAGTGGTCTTACGTGCTCCCAACTAGCGCCGTTACAGTCCATAATGAATGCGGCGGCAAGGCTCATCTTCCTGTCTGCCTGCACCTCCCATGCCTCACCCTTCTGTCAATCCCTACACTGGCTTCCAATAAAATATAGAGCTCAATTTAAAATTCTGGTTCTTGCTTTCAAATCGCTACATAATGCTGCTCCCACCTATCTATCCTCCCTTATACACAAGTATGTCCTGTCTAGGCCCTTACGATCTGCTGAAGACTTACGTCTATCTTCTGTCCGTACTCCCACCTCTAATGCTCGCCTTCAAGATTTCTCGAGGGCTGCACCGTTCCTGTGGAACTCGCTTCCCTCCTCCGTTAGATGCTCACCCAGTCTCCATTCCTTCAAAAAAATTGTTAAAAACCCACTTCTTCATAAAAGCGTATTAGTTAAACTGTTAATAGCTCCTGACTGATTCCTCTTCTGCAACTATCATTGGTCTAATACTATCCTTACCTTTTTGTGTCATTTTACCCCACTCCCTCTAGCATGTAAGCTCATTGAGCAGGGCCCTCAACCCCTCTGTTCCTGTGTGTCCAACTTGTCTGGTTACAACTACATGTCTGTTCGTCCACCCACTGTAAAGCGCTACGGAATTTAAAAATATCATCATAATAATAATAATAATAATAATAACAGGGACCTAATTTTCATCCCCTATACCCATTGGTGTTTTCTGTGGGGTCTCTAAATCATAGCACAAGGGGGATCACCCATGGGCTCTCAAGAATAATGCAAGGTGTGGAACTAGTGTACCCCATCCAAGCCCCCATGGGCATAGGCTCTAAATAATAATACAAGGGTCATGGACAATCCACCCCCCCCCCACCCCCACCACCCAATTAGTGACATGGTCCACCCTGCCATCCTAGGCAAGCTACTTAAAAAAAACAAAAAAACACAACAACTGTGTCGCAAACAAAGGCCAACACCAGTGGATAAGTTGGAGGGCTATATTATAAATACACTTACCCCTGAAACAGTAGGTGTATCTGGTATCAAGTGTTCAAAAACTATAATAAAAAAAAACAAAACAGAATGTAGTGTAGCAAGTTTGTCATAATAAAGAGTGCAATGTAAATAAATAGGCTACACTCACAATGGACAGAGCCTTAAAGGGATAGGCTCAGATCGCTCTGGTGGATGTGTGCTATGGTGACCTTATCCCTCTTCAGTCTTCAACAAGAGTAACTTAAAGGAAAAACAAAAAATACAAAAGTATCTAGTGCAGCAACCCTGATGATTAAATAACTAAACCAATAGACACAGAACTGCTCACTTTAAAAAGAGCTGTCCGTAACGAGGCTCTAGGTAAAAGCACTTATGTGTCTATAAAGGGGGAGCAAACCCTTCTTGAATGCAGGACCAAGCTGGTTTAGGATGCCACAGGACCAAGTGGTAAAGTGCAAAACTGAATTTATTAAACTATACAATAAAAACAAATAAAGTTAAAATCAATAAATGTCCTTGGGGTCTCCTCCGAGACCTGCTTCGCTGACATGGAGTTTCTTCAATCAGATGTACCAGCTTCCATTAAGAGTCCTTTTAAACCACTTTCTTGAATGTGGTTGGGTACTTCCCATATGAGTTCTCCAATTGTGGCTTATGTGGGCAAAGTCCTGGCAACTTCACAGCATTATGATGGAGTCTTTTGTGAACTGGAAGTGACGCATAATGTCAATTCCACTTTGCTCATATCAAAAGGTCTCTGCAGTATGTGAGTCGTTCTACTTAAACTCACTATTATAATATTATTTTTTACATGTTACGCTATGATTTTTCTTTTTTTCAGTTTATATTTTTTAGGTTAAACAACCTGCTCTACCTTTAGTATCCTGAAAGTGTATTTGTAAAACATAGCAATTTAAAAAAAAAAAACAAATAAGATTAGGCGTTCACTATAGTGATGGATACAATAGGGAGTAGGCAGCAGTGACCACACAAGGATTCCCTACCTTGTGATAAATCAATAGTGAACAGAAAGAAAAGAGGAAACCGCGCCCTTATTGTTATACGCAAATACGTACTCAAGTCCTTATGGTCTTAAGGGATCTTATAATAATGTAACTCAAAAGAAAAAAAGAGATATACAAATAATAGTGTAGCACTGTTAATATTCCGTAAGTGAGCAAGGAGTAAATAGATGTACACTAACATGTGACAGAGCTAGAAACAGAGCTCTACTGTTCATGCGCATAGACGGAATAATCCCCGTCTTAGGATAAATGTAAGGTGGTCCACGTCTTGATGGTCTCAAATAAAGAACACACAGATAGACAGAAGAATCAGCAGTAAATACTAAAATCTCTTGGGATAATGGATAAATATAAAGTGTTGTACTCACATTTACTAGAGCGTGCCTCGCTCTAGTTTATAAGGTGTAGGTGTTTAATCCCCACCAAGGAATAAGATGGTAACCAGGAAAAAATAATATAATAATGGATATCTCAGAGTGATAAAAATATATAAAATAGTAACTGTTTATTGTACACGAAAATCAATAAAAACAAATAAGAAACACTCTATGAGAAAGTCCATAAAAATCCACTTTACGCGTTTCACCTGTAGAGGCTTCTTCAGAAGTGTGGATAGAGTCCTTTTTAATGTCCAAATATATAAATATCTTACAATTGTGGGTATAAATAATATTATATGTAAAGTACACACAAAAAAGACCCATCATATATTAAAAAATATGGAAAAATCAGCTTGGCATACATAGTAAATGTAAACATAATAGAAAAAAAGATTTGTAAATGTATGTCAGTATATAATGGCAAAAAAAACGTTAATGTAAACAAATAGCATTATCTTATAACAAGATAAATGCAGACAGTAAATACAAAGAAAATAATATAAAAAGCATATAAAACATAAGTAAATATATAAATATGGTGGAAATCAAGTATAAAAATTGATACTTAAAAACAAGGCTATAGCCTTAAAAATATACATATATAATAAAATACAGAAAAAAGGTAAATATATTAATCTAAAAGAAGCAACAAGTAATTAGGAGGTAAATATAAATATTATAAAAAATTAAAAAGATCAAAATCTATATTTAATCCATTCGGATGCAAAGTATCAATTTTAAATACCCATTCCATCTCCTTTTTTCCTATTATTTTGATAAAATCACCTCCTCTCCAATGTTTTTTTTTACTATCGTGATCCCTATGAATGTGAGAAATTTGGGATCATTATTATGCTTGCAGAAATGGGCAGACACTGAGTGTTTTTCATAGTTTTTTTCAATATTTCTGCAGTGTTCAGCTATACGTATTTTTAAAGGTCTAATAGTACGGCCAATATATTGGAGGCCACAAGGGCATTCCAATAAATAAATAACATTCTTACTTTCACAGGTAATAATTTCTTTAATGTTGTAAGTCTTATTATTATTATTCGATTTAAAAGTGGACCTACTCTTTTCTGTTGGCTTCGTTTTTTTGCAAGCTATACAGTTATTACATTTAAAAAAACCATTGGCAAGGGGTGGGAAATGTTTTGTATGTGTATTTTCTCTTTGATCTTTAGTGTAATTGTTTGTAAGGTGCATTTTTAAATTTGGAGCACCTCTAAACACAATGTGTGGTTTATTAGGAATCATGTCTTTAAGGATAGGATCCTCTTTTAGAAGATGCCAATGTCTGTTCATTATTCTTTTTAGATTTTTATTTTTATCATTATAATCCAATACTATGGGTAGAATAACTTGATTTTGTTGTTGAGGTTTTATTTTATGTATAAGTTCTTTTTGGTTGATTTTTAATGTTTGTTGAATAGTAGATTCTATTAATTCTTCATTGTAACCCTTATTTGTTAAACTGTTTTTAATCTTATTAGCCTGTTGTATAAAAACGGTGTTATCAGAACAATTTCTCCTGAATCTAGTAATTTGGCTCTTTGGAATACTGTTGAGCCAAGCTTTATTATGGCAGCTTTTTGTATTAATATAATTATTAACATGGACATCTTTAAAATTAGTTTTAGTATGGATAGTGCAATTTTCAATATAGATATTAAGATCTAAATAAGTAATTTCTTTATCGCTAATTTCAGAGGTTAAAATGATTCCCTCCTGGTTTGAATTTAAAATAAAATCATGGGCTTCTTTTAATAGGGCCTTTCCAAATAAAAATGAGGTCATCTATGTATCTGGAATAGGTAAAACCATTGGAGAGGAGGTGATTTTATCAAAAAAATAGGAAAAAAGGAGATGGAATGGGTATTCAAAATTGATACTTTGCATCCAAATGGATTAAATATAGATTTTGATCTTTTTAATTTTTTATAATATTTATATTTACCTCCTAATTACTTGTTGCTTCTTTTAGATTAATATATTTACCTTTTTTCCGTATTTTATTATATATGTATATTTTTAAGGCTATAGCCTTGTTTTTAAGTATCAATTTTTATACTTGATTTCCACCATATTTATATATTTACTTATGTTTTATTTATACCCACAATTGTAAGATATTTAAATGTATCTTATGTTCTTATAGTTTTTATTTTTATTTTCTCATTCATTTTAGTATATTTTTTAAATGATATCTCTTAGGAAGTTCTTAGCAGTATTATTTTAGTTGTTTATCATCTGCTCTTGTTCTATAATGGTGAGAATGTATTTAAAGATGTTATACACCTGTCACTTTAAATCGCATGCTAAGCCCCTATTGGTGTCACTCTATTAAGATACATATGATTAATTGATTTAAGGTTATCTTAACAATATTATATGCACTATGTAATTCATCATAATATATTAGATTGATAATACCCTTATTAGTGGTATAAAAGTAATGTACTATTATTACTATTGCCGTTTTTTTTTGTTTGCGTTCCTTCTGTGGAACGCATAGAATACGTTTGTACTATCATTCTGATTGCCGTTTTTTGCTTGCGTTCCATCGTCTGGTTACGCTGCGTCATTTCCGGTAACATAACATAACCCATATCCTCCAATATATTATTGGCCAAGATGTCGCAGCGTCACTTCCGGTATGACGCGCGCGCGAAAACCAGGAAACAGTAAGTAATTCTCAAACATATGAAGATAATTGCTTTAAGTTTGACTCCCTATATATTTGGACATTAAAAGAACGCTATCCACACTTCTGAAGAAGCCTCTACAGGTGAAACGTGTAAAGTGGATTTTTATGGACTTTCTCATAGAGTGTTTCTTATTTGTTTTTATTGATTTTTGTGTACAATAAACAGTTACTATTTTATATATTTTTATCACTCTGAGATATCCATTATATTATTTTTTCCTGGTTACCATCTTATTCCTTGGTGGGGATCATACCACCTACACCTTATAAACTAGAGCGAGGCACGCTCTAGTAAATGTGAGTACAACACTTTATATTTATCCATTATCCCAAGAGAGTTTAGTATTTACTGCACTATGTGGATTCTTCTGTCTATCTGTGTGTTCTTTATTTGAGACCATCAAGACGTGGACCACCTTACATTTATCCTAAGACGGGGATTATTCCGTCTATGCGCATGAACAGTAGAGCTCTGTTTCTAGCTCTGTCACATGAGTGTACATCTATTTACTCCTTGCTCAGTTACGGAATATTAACAGTGCTACACTATTATTTGTATATCTCTTTTTTTCTTTTGAGGTACATTATTGCAAGTATATGACCATAAGGACTTGAGTACGTATTTGCGGATCACAATAAGGGCGCGGTTTCCTCTTTTCTTTCTGTTCACTATAGCAATTTTTTAGCATTTCTGGATTTGATGGCTACTATTAAACTTAAAATACACACATATGAGACACTGGCTGTGCCTAGTATCTCTTTAATCTGCTTTAAAAAAAAGCTTTTTAACTGCATGTGTAGACAGGAAGCACAAAGAGCTATAATTGTTTAACTTGGGTGGTTAGACATCTGGGGTCTTAAATGGGGAAGTCTTAGAAACATTTATCTATTTTCACAGTAAGGTAGAAAAATTTACTTCCGAAACAAATTGTTTGTGATTTGTTTTTATTCTAATGTGGATGTGGTTATGGGAATTTTCAGGAACTGACCATGAGATTAATATTTTAGGTTAGGATTAAGAGTGATCAATGATTCAAAACATGCCAAACATACTGTAGCTTGCATGGTTTAAGGAACACTCCAGAAACGTTCAAGGGGCACTCTACTGCCCCTTAAAAAAAAAAAAAAAATCCCTGCCTAGTAGATGTACAGCCATTGAAAATATGCATTATTGGGCGTATATCGAAATACAGCTTGCAAGAGCCAAAATTCTCTTGTCTGCTGCCTTTCCAAACCCTGCCTCTCTAACCCAGCCCAGACTTTCTATGGTTGTCCTATCACAGACTGCCCAATGCAGCTCAATAAAAAGTCTTTGCAGGGCAGGTGCTATGAGCTATAACAAACCAAGGATGTATTAGGACCTGTGGTCTGCTTGACAGCCATGGTGTTGTAACAAAACAAATTTATAAAACTGCAGATTTCTATAGAAATCTGCATTGTTTGTAAAATGAAAGAAAAATGCACTCTTCACATATAAAGCAATTCAGCAAGATTAAGTGCCTCAAACTGTCGTGTTTTTTCTTTTGATTTTCCTTTCCTTATGCCTCCTGTCCCTTAATGATATGCTCCCTCCCTTGTCAGTTGTCTTTATTTATATATATTACTTTTTGTCCTTGTGCTGGATCTTCGTACCTGGGCACAGCCATTTTGTTCTCCTCTGCTTTGGTGTCTGCTGTTTGCCCTGTGGGATTAGGTTACTGATGGATTGTCGGTAAATTTGATTGGCAACTGAAAGCTCTGCCCATTTTTAAGTTTTGTCAAATTGACCGTGATGAATACAGCTGTTTCTGTGCTTTATCAATATCTGCTAGTGGGAGATGGACAGTCCAAACATATGTTTAAAAGGCGTTGGGAGATAAGCCTAGATACATAGAAACATAGAAACCATGGAAAGAATATATGGCTGGGGGGAGAGGACATTGATTAAGGAGATAGGAGAGTTGGGAGTCTAAGATCAGGGAGATGGCTAGGACCTACACTCACTGGTGAGTTTTGATACCTTATTCCTATTTTCTTTTTATAAATTTTAGTTATTTATTTATTTATTTATTTATTTTTAGGTATTCCTAGTAATGGAAAATTTACTTGGCTATTAATATTCTACCTCACTTGGGCAATGTACCCACACTCCTGTCGATGTGTGGATTTGAAAGGAATTCTTTAGCCATTTCACACTTTCTACCTTTCCTAGCCATCCCGCAAAACATACACCTTCCCATCTTCCCTTGCCATTCCACACACCTCCCTCCCTGTCTATGGTACACACCTTCTACATGCTAAACAATGTGTGCTATGTCAGTAAACGTCCTAGACATACAATGGAATGTTAACTAAGTAATTTTTGTTTGCACAGAACTTGTAACACACGTATATTTTACCTTTCAGGTGAAATCTGGTGCTGGATGGAATCATGTAGAAACGCATCAGGTTAGGTATATTTTCTTCTTCCCAAAAGATGAATCATAAAGGGAGCAATTTCAATTGAAATTATAGCATCTTAGAAGTGATTAGTCATAGTAGTATTACCACAGCATTGCAGAAGTAGGCACATAGTTTACAGCGTAGTGATTTTATTCTCTTCTGATTTTCAGTGTGCAGATAAAGCCTTCAAACATAATATCATAATATATATGGATAGTTTTTTTTTGACAATCTTTATTTATTCTTTTAATAGTCATTCAGTGTGTTACAACTGTGAACATACTTAGGTGAACATTCGTTGAACATGAAAACATTCAATTATTGGCTATTGATTGTAACCGGCATTACCGGTGTTATGTCGGTAGTGTGTAGGTCTTTGTCAGGTAAGGCTGCGCTTCATCAGAGGCTGCTGCTGAAGACTTTTGGTTTAGCTTTCACTTTGGTAGTGTCAGTTGCAGGCATGAGGTAGGTAGAGCTAGTGTGAGGTATGTGTTGTGCCATGTGTTACTCCCTTGTGGACTTGCTTTGTTACGTGGGTTATGTAATTATCCCCTTAGAATAGCTTTCTAGTGTTTTGTTTTCAGTGGTTATGTGTGTGGGTTTCGAGGCATCTACAGAGTGTCCTCATTCCGTCTAGGTTACTGGCTTGATCGCAGTGGGTTATTTGGCTAGTGTCACTTGTGTGTTGTGATGTGTCGGTCATTATCGAAAAGGTGTGCTGTATTCAGCTCTGGGTGTTGAGGTGACCTCGTCCTGGTCCTGTGTGGCTTGTTGTATCCTATGTCCTGCATGTAGATGCATGCTCTACGGTGCGTCTTTTATCTGTGTTTGCTCTGACTATTTTAGGCGGTTCTGGGTGTTGACTAGTTTGGGGTATCTGGAGTAATTATCGTCCCCAATGGGCAGTTGAGTCTCGTGTCGGGTACATGAACGGTTCTCGTCTCCTGGTGTTGTCTTCACACTCTGTCCTTCTATCCCTGTTATGTCTATTTGTTTGCTGCCTGGGTAATTTCTCTGTTATTTCTCGGCCTTCCTCTGTCGTTCGCCCTCCCTCTCGTTTTGGTCACCAGCCTTCCGTCATGTTATGTAGTGGTGTAGGTTGGTGTGGGTACCTTCGAGAGTCATGTCTCCATGGTTCGTCAACAGTCTTGTGAAGGGGGGGGGGGCAGATAGGTCAGTTGTGTGTGTGTGGGGGGTCATTCATAACTGGTTGTTACTGTAGCTATACGTTGGTCTGTCGGGGTGGTTCTGCCGGTGCAGGCGCGCCCGCAATCCCCGCCGGGACGTCTCTTGCAGCTCCTTTTGCTGTATATTCCATCCATGGGAAACAAGCCAGGGCACATTTGTCCGAGTGTCCCTGCAGGGAGGCTGTCATCATTTCCATGCTGAATCATGGATAGTTTTTATGTTACTTCTCAGTTCTCAATTGTATTTTCTCCCTGCAATTTTTTGTCTTAAAGGGACACTATAGTCACCAAAACAACTTTTGAAACTATTTTGTTTTCATGCAGGCTGTGAAAGTCATATGCAGGAAGGTGTGACTAGGGCTGCATAAACAAAGTGATTTAACTCCTAAATGGAAGAGAATTGAGCAGTGAGACTGCAGGGGCATGATCTATAAACCAATGCTGCTTCATTAAGCTAAAGTTGTTTTGGTGATTGTAGTGTCACTTTAATGTACATTTGTTTCAGTGTGTCTCTTTATTTATCCACATGTTATTTTTTGCATATATTGTAAAGCTGTCTGGATAAAAGCACAATTTGAGAACGGTTAAATATAAAAAAATAAAATAATAATATATCCATACATTACTTTCATCCATACATTATTTTCATCTTTATTGAGAGCCATAAAACCCACGACAACAGTTAAACAATAGAAAATAGAATAGACAATAGAAACATTAGCTGGTATTGCCAGAATGTTGTCATAATGCAAGTAAAACCATATCATTTAATTTATTTTGTTGATATGCTGTGCACTCAGATGTTATTGTTCATGTTTCTGAATATACTTACATAGTTACATAGGCTGAAAATAGACATACCGTATATACTTGAGTATAAGCCGAGTTTTTCGGCACATTTTTTGTGCTGAAAAACCCCAACTCGGTTTATACTCGAGTCAGTCTGTATTATGGCAATTTACATTGCCACAATACAGACCAGGACCGCCGGGCTCATTACAAGCGAGACTTACACTGTAAGCAGAATGGAGCTGACAGAGGAGCTGCACGGAGGAGAAGGGAGCTGACAGGAGCTGCAGGAAGGTGAGCCCCCCCCACTGAACAGCCAATGTCACTGGACCACCAGGGATTTAATATTATTAAAATAATATTAAAATATTGTAATATTAAAATAATAATAATATAATAATAAAATAACATTATTATTTTAATATTATATTGTAATAATATTATTTTATATTATTATTTTATTATTATATTATTATTTTAATATTATTTTAATAATATTATTTTTTTTAAATAATGCAAATTTTAAAATAATAATAATATTATTAAAATAATATAATAAAATAATATAATAATAAAATAATAATATTATTAAAATAATATAATATTAAAATAAAAAAATAAAAATAAAAATGCCCTCCCCTCACCCAGTTTACACACACTGCACAAACACACACACTGCATTCATTATATACACACAAACACACACACTGCATTCATTATATACACACATACACACAAATACACACTCTGCATTCATTATATATACACATACACACACACACTCTGCATTCATTATATACACACACAAACACATTCTGCATTCATTATATACACACACACAAACACACACTCTGCATTCATTCTATACACACACTGTAAATAAATATTCAATTAATGTAATTTTATTGGGATCTAATTTTATTTAGAAATTTACCAGCAGCTGCTGCATTTCCCACCCTAGGCTTATACTCGAGTCAATAAGTTTTCAAATTTTTTTGTGGTAAAATTAGGGGCCTCGGCTTATATTCGGGTCGGCTTATACTCGAGTATATACAGGGCCGGTGCAAGGATTTTTGCCGCCCCAGGCAAAAGTAAAGTTTGCCGCCCCCCCCCCCTCGTGACATCACAATGCCCCACCCATATGACCTGCCATGTTAACTAACGCTAGTGCTGCAGTGCCGCTGTGTTTACATTAAAAGGCCTGCAGGGACAGGCTATAGACACCAGGACCACTACATTAAGCTGCAGTGGTTCTGGGGATTATAGTGTTTCTTTAATGTGAGGTAAATTAGAGATTAGTGCCACGAATAATATACTAGATTACCTACTTACAAGCAGATGAGGATGATGATGGGCTCTAGCTGCAGTCTGGCTCCACTGGTCTGGTGTATAACAGGATCTCTGGAGGCTGTTTGTAACTGTGGTCACAAAAATCAATGTTCTGGGAGAACGAGAAGCAGCTCCATTTTTTGGGGGCCCTTTACACAGCTCAAGGTCTGGGTCCCAGGGTCCACCTTCATGTTCCACCAATGAGTTTGTTCACAGGGGGTGGAGTGTGTAGGGGATGTCCTTATTTGTGTGTAAGGAATGCATTGTGTGAATCTGTGTTTGTATGTGTAAGGGCTGCAAGGTGTGTTTCTGTGTATGTAAGGGATGAAGTGTGTGTCTCCTCCATGTTAGTTTCTTTCCCCCCACCTCCCTGTTAGTTTCTTTCTCCCCCCTCCCGTCAGTTTCTTTCTTCCCCCTCCTTCCCTGTTTCCTTCTCCCCCCTCCCTCCTCCTGTTTCCTTCTCCCCCCCTCCCTCCCTCCCTGTTTCCTTCTCCCCCTTCCCTCCTGTTTCCTTCTCCCCCCCTCCCTCCCTGTTTGTTTCTTCTCCCCTTCCCTCCCTCTCTGTTTCTTTCTTCTCCCCTCCCTCCCTCCTGTTTCCTTCTCCCCCCTCCCTCCCTCTCTGTTTCTTTCTTCTCCCCCCTCTCTCCCTCTCTGTTTCTTTCTTCTCTCCTCCCCCTACCTGTGTAGTAGCGTGGCCGAGCCTAGTCTAGTCCGCGGGTACAGGGAGCTGTTGTTTCCTGTACCCGGCCGACTAACAGGAAGTGAACACTCAGTGTTCCCTGTACCGGTCGAACCATGCCATACAGGGCTCGGCCACGCTACAGTGAGGGAGCTGACAGGAGGGAGCGCTGAGCGCTTCCCTCCTGTCAGCCTCTCCTCAGGCTGCGCCCGGGCGGTGCGGTCCGCCCTCATGGACGCACCGCTCGGGCAAAGCTGCAGCCGCCTGAGGCGCTCTACAGAGCGCTCGGGTAGCTGCAGCATGGGGGGGGCCGGCGCTCCTGGCGGCGCCCCCTCCCAAGGGGCGCCCTAGGCGGCTGCCTAGTCCGCCTAACAGGTAGCGCCGGCCCTGAGTATATACGGTACATCTTATCAAATTCATGAAAAACAAGGAGGTATTCAGCGCTTTTCAGGTACTGATACAGTCCAAAGAGCAGCTTAGTCACCATAATCGGGGTCTCTCGGCCCATAGAGAAGCAATTAAAAACACAAGCGGAAGTGTAGCGCCCAGTGGGTCCTTAGAGTATATATAATAAAACAAGGGAGAAATGGAAAGCTGATAATGAAGTATGTAACAATTCTAATAAATAACAAGTAGAAGTAAATAAACTCACACTTTAAGGGGGCTAAGATGTAGGTAAAACTTAAGCGCCTGGATGGAATGATCCCCATCTGAGGATATGATGTAGTGTAAACTCTTGTAGTGAGTTCTTGTGGTGGTAGTGACTCTCACAGATATGTAGGAAAGATAAAAAATATATAGTGCAGTATATCAAATTTTAATATAAGGATACAACTGATGATGGATGTGCACTCACGTGATCAGGAGCCTGGAATGCGGCTTTGCAGGTATAGCGTGAAGTGGTATAATCCCCACTCTTGAATATCAGTGGTGATGGTCTCTCTGATGATATAGATAAAACATTTTTTTTTTTATTGGACCTGTTTGCTGCTGGATTCAGGAATACCATATTTTTGGTGGGGACAATACCACCTATGCCTTTTGGACAGAGAAAATGCTTATTTGCTGTACTAAATGTAAGTAGATTTGATCTATTTCATTTTATCCTGCACTCCATCACCAGCAACATCCAAGAGTTGGGATTATAACACTTCATCCTATAACAGCAGAGCAGCATTCCAGGCACTGGAATATGTGAGTGCACATCCGTCATCAGTTTTATCCTTGTATTAAAATTGAATATACTGCACTATATATTTTTTTATCTCTAATACATATCTGCAAGAGTCATTACCACCATAAGAACTGAATACAGGAGTTTATACTCCTCCATATACTCAGGTGGGGATCATTCCGGCCAGGCGCTCAAGTTAAAGCTACATCTTGGCTCCCAAAAAGTGTGAGTGTATTTGCTTCTACTTGTTATTTATTGGAATTGTTACGTGCTTAACTACCAGCTCTCCATTTCTCCCTTGGCTTTTTTATATATATACTCAGAGGACACGCACTACACCTCCCTCTGTGCATTTATCTTATCAAATTCAGCCTTTCTCACATCTGTTTTTGCTGTTGATCCAAAAGAATGTGGAAAGGAAGTAGAGGACATTGCATGTGAAGGCTCATTTTATACGACGTCAGGACGCAAGGATGCGTTTGTGAAATACGACCTGAAGCCAGAAGCGGAAGGGGGAGGAGTCCGATATCGGCAAAGAAAGAGCTCGAATATCGGACATATTTAAAGGATGATAAGCCATGAATAGACATACACTTTTATGCCGAAATGCATCAGGGTATCTGCGGTGTTGCAAGTTATTTCACTGGGATTTTAATGCTGTACATTCCTGTTTGCTATGGGTGTCAGGAGTGATCTGGGTTTCAGGAGTGATCCTAAATAGACACAGGAGAACAGTCCTAAATGGGCTTAGATAGCTAAAGGGGTGACAGATAGTAATACAGTATACAAATGTATCTAATACTCTTAACATTTTTATTAGAAAGTTACAAATACAATTATTTTTATAATGCAAATATATATTTTAGAACACTTTGTAATAGGTAAATAATAGGTAAATAAGACAAACAATTCTCATAGAACATGTTTGGCATTTCGGAACAGTAGGTAAAGAGCAGGGGAGGGCTGGCAGCCTTAGGCCTGGGGGGCAAATCCAGTCAAGTGGCCCATCGGCTCACCATCCATGCCCACCTTTTCCTGGTTTTATAACAGATATTTATGTTATGCTAATCAGTAGCTCTTTGCCATATCCACTCCTTCGCGGCTCCAACTTTCATTGTTGTCAGAGCGCAGGCTGAGAATCTCTGAGCCTGTGCTCTGATTCTCTAACTAAGTGCCGGAACCACGAGGGAGAGGATATGATCTGACTGCACCTACTGCTGGTGCACACCAGTGGACCACCGGGGAATCGCCACCGGACGCCTCTGTTGTCATGGTGCCCTGTGTCATGGCGCCCCAAAGACTGGCCCTGCTGACAGACACAGTAGCCCTCACTCTCAGTAACACACACACACAAACCCTGACAGACACACTCACTGACAGGCAGACACACACATTCACTGACAGACAACCACTTACTTGACAGACACACTTGCTGAGACACACACATGCACACACTGACAGACACACAAACGCTGACAGATATACTTATTCACAGACACATACACTTACATACACACTTACTGACAGACAGACATACACACTCACTGACAGACACACTCACTCACTCCCTGACATACATCCACACAGACTGACTGACAGACACACTTACTTTCAGACACACAGACTCCCACAGTCTAGCACACACACTCACAAATTAATTTTATTGCTTGTTGCTCCTTCCTTTAGGAGTCCTCTGGGTCCTCGGGGTCCAGTGGCTTTCTTGATCTTCCTGCTCCTTTCTGCTCCCTCACACTGTTTAGTGAGGCAGGCCAGAATGATGTCATATTCCGGCCCCTGGCATCACCACAGAGGGCGCACAAGGGAGCAGGAAGATCATAAGCACAGTCAGCACTCCCTCGCCGCCTGCCTCCTTCTTCACCCGACTGGTATATTGCTGCAGAGTAGGCACCTGCCGTTTTGGGGGTCACTAGGTGGACAACTGGTGGGCTCCCTGTGACAGGACATCGGCCTGTTCTGTGCGGCACCCTCCACCTCCTGGAGCCTGGGCGCGGTGCACCCTGTGCACCCACCGAGGATCGGCAAAGCAGTGGCCATGTTTAAAATGATTGAGATCGGCCTGGGGGGCAATTGTCTCCCTGTCCCACGTCCCAGCCTGGCCCTGGTAAAGAGGGAACTTGCAAAATGAGCTTCCAATGTAAAAGAAAATGAATTACAATAAATAAATATCAAATGAGCAGAAAGTTTAATAAGATTCTTAAGTTTTGTATTTATATGAACTTTCTTATGTATGTGACATAATGAGCAATGCTATCTGACAATCTGGAAATTCATTTGACTCCTTTCTGTGTGACTAAAGGCCTATATTATTTCTTTTTGTTTACAGATTGTTCAAAGTACTATTTTGTCACTGCAGCTGTGGTTGTTACAATATGGCTCATTGTAGCACTGGCCCTGTACATCTTAAGAAAAAAGAGAACAAAACGTATGTTTCCACATATGGTGTCTGCCTGCATGTACTTAGCTGAACTCTGCATGGTTTAAAGTCCAATTCATCCTTTATATCCGGCTAGCACATTTGCACTTCACTTTGTGCTTGACTTTTGTTTGTCACTTCCTACAACTTGAGCTAATTGGTCCAGACTGCATAATTCAGTTAGGTTCTGCTGGGTGGGGAACAGGAAGGAACACACCATAACAAAAGGGGAACACAGTGCACACCCCAACATTAGGGAAGTCTACATTGCAGAAGAAGTAGTGTGATTTCAAGTGCTATTCAACACACATCCAAGAGGACTAAAGACATTTTGGTTGATTTATCAGTGTTTGGAAAAAATTGTGTTTTTTAATATACGAGTTAGACTTGGATGTCAGTAAAAGATCCACGATATCTACTATGATACTTATTATCATGACTGGCGGCCTCTCAGTGTACCCCTAAGTGCAGACTTTGCATTTTGCTCCCCCCCCCCCAAAAAAAACCCACTGATAAATATTTTAATACAAAATCCTTAATAGTTTGCAACTCTAATGCATTCTTCTTGTGGTGGTGAGATGAAACTAAAACTTTAAAATACTAGTTTTAACATCAATGGATTAATCCTTCCCCCATCCATATTTTTTACTAAAAAAAAACAAAAAAAACATCCTTCCTGTTCCATATGGACTTGCTTTTATCATTATGTTATTTTTAATCTCTTGCCAACCTTGTATTAGATCACTAAACAACTGCACACAGTCAAAAATGAAATCCACATTTGAATTCAGAGACTGGCACTAGACCAGGGTTATAGTGGACCAACCCCTCATAGCAATATAATACAAGTCTTATATTAAAAAAAAAAATGATGGGGGCAGAGCCAAGCTGCCATGCTGAGAGGTCGCATATGAGACCAGCTCCATGCAAAAACGCTCTTAATCAGCCCAAATTTGGGCAAAAACCCACCAAATCGATGATTAGACGACCTAGAGAAGTGAGCACTTAAATGCAGAGCCAAGCGTCAATTATCCCAATTGAAATCGGAGGCATCTAACCTGGGATAGATCCGAGGCCTACTCAGACAAAGCGATGGAGGCGCCTGATATCCACGCCGCCTGCAACCATTCACTCTGAGGTCTCCCCGGTACACTTCCTCCCCCCCTGCTGGTGAGGGATATCCCGGTATTTTAAGCTTGAGACACAGCAGCAAAACCAAAGCGGGAACTGTCCCACACGGCCGGCACAGCTCCAGCAACCACCAGGCCACTAGGACGCAGCTAAGATGGCTGCCCAGGGAGGACCCCAAAAGCGGAGCACATACGCCCAACCATCCACGCACCCCCTGGGGGAATTTGACCGGCTTTGCGAGAGCCTCTGGACTATGCTGCGCGAACGCGGAATGGCTTACCGCCGGGCAGCAAAACTAGTGGCTACATGGATTCGTCCAGTGACCCGCCGGCGCCATTATAGACACCCACCACAGGCATCCGGGAAGGCCGCCAGGCTACGCAAACACTGCCGCTCTCATGGGCAGGAAATAACGCCATATTACATGGGCGACCGCACCTACCCCCACATTAAGGAGACCACTAAACCAGCCTTCCACGCCAGCTACTCACCTGACCCGAGAACCGGCGCTCGGCGGAGCTTGACCCCGTCCCTCCAAGCTACAACCGCAAACTGGGGAGCCGCACAGCTAAACACTCCACTGAATGCTGCTGGAGCGGCGTCCCAGTCCAGGGGCGCCTTCGAGGAGTCAAACGTCGACGGCAAGAGACACGTCCATGCAATGGGCATCGGCTAAAGGCCTACCTCTGTGCCCCTCAGGTGGACATGCCTCACCTGCATCTGGAGGACACGCTTACAGCCATCGCTGTGCAGACTACCCGCATCAAGTAACCACAAAATTTTTCTTTAGTTGCTACCGTAGGGATAGAACGTTACCAGTGACTCTTTACCTTAATAGCTAATGCCAGCTCGACTTCTATTCACACATATATTGCACCAAACATAGTGAGCCATGTAGAGATGGCTCCATACTTTCGAAACATAAACATGACAAGCAACATTTTATTATCGTGTTTTACCCTTCATGCCTAGCCAGCCTCTCTGAGTTACCAAAATAGGTTCTATAGCTTAGACATGAGGAACTAGCCTTTATTCCCTGGTTACCTATTTGAATGTTATCATATTTTCACCCAGTGTAGCACATTTAAAATTACATTTACATAATGACCCTGCATAGGCAGACACCGTGATAGATGTGTTTAGCTCAATCATGTAATTCCATGTCCTAGCCTGTTTTCCTTTTATTGTGACTACTGGGTGATGCTTATCTGTTAGCCAAGAAAAGTTACCTTTTGTTTTTATGAAACCCAGAGGAAAATCCTGTTTACTTATCTGTTAAAAAAAAAATGTGTGCAGTACCTCTCTATTCCACAAGCCTGTTTAAAAAATGTCACCCACTCTACTTGTTATTGCTATTGTGGCACAACAAGCGACTGTATTAACTGAATGCACCACAAAAATAAAGAATTAAAAAAAAAAAAAAATGATGACTCTACCCCTCCCACCCACTCCTAAAATACATCTACCAAGGCATACTGAGTTATTGAGACTTAATCTATCATGCTGATCCAATCATAACTGTAAAAATACTTACCTGCTCTGTGCCAAGCAGCTACTCTCCCGCTGCATAGCCTAACTGCTCCACGCAGCTGCACGGCTGGAAACCTGCGGAGCATAATATATTTACTTATTCGGCACTGGCAAATTGCTCCTATGCATTCATCAGCGTCAATCTGCTGCTCCTTACATCCATAATCTCGAATGCTGCCCCCTCCAAGCGTGCGTCTTTAAATAGATTTAAAAGTTATGCCGTCACCTCTGCCCTCATATTGACGACTTCATTTAGGCGACCCTATGCACTTGTTAATCTATATAAAAGCCTGTTTAGGCCCTTACACTTACTCGTGGTTTCTATTTAGTTACACATTAAGTGCTTCAAGCGACTCTCTTGTGAGTTCCCGTAATTGACCTTGGTTTCGTTTTGACTTTGAGAACTTTTGTTAGCCATTACCCGAACCCAACTTGTTTTTCATGTTTCTGTATTTCTTTATTTCTGACCTCGGCTATTCCTGACTTTGATTCTTTTAATACGTTAAAGGACCACTCTAGGCACCCAGACCACTTTAGCTTAATGAAGTGGTCTGGGTGCCAGGTCCAGCTAGGGTTAACCCATTCTTTTATAAACATAACAGTTTCAATGACAGCCGCTAGAGGCGCTTGTGTGCTTTTCACTGTGATTTTCACAGTGAGAGCACGCAAGCGTCCATAGGAAAGCATTGATAATGCTTTCCTATGCGACCGGCTGAATGCGCGCACAGCTCTTGCCGCGCGTGCGCATTCAGCCGACGGGGAGGAGGAGGATCGGAGGAGGAGAGCTCCCCGCCCAGCGCTGGAAAAAGGTAAGTTTTTACCCCTTTCCCCCTTCCAGAGATGGGCAGGAAAGGGGTAGACTAGTATACCACTATTTGGACCCTCGTATTCTGTTTCCTGTGAGTTAGGGTAACTATAGGTTATCTTTTTTTGTTTTAACCTTGGGGATTAGAGTCAATATATTTTGCATAAATTCATCGGTAAGCAAATGAACACCTTGTAAGTATTTGCACTCTAAAAAGTAATGAGGTAAGAAATGACATCTAGTTTGTAAAGATTGTAATTGCAGAACATTTTGCTTAGATACCAACTGTCTTGTTTTTTCCCTGACAATGACACTTCTTGGACTCCTCTCCCTGCAAACACAGCTACTGGGATCTGTCCCAGTTCCTGAAAATCTGCCCAAAAGTTATCGTTTTTGGTCACATATTTAAAAATACTGATCACAAACTGAAACTGCATTGTTGATTTCAGCAACATATACTAACCTGTATTGGATAGCCATAGCAGGAACACAAGGGGCCAAGGTCCTGTGGGAGCATATCCATGATTCACATAGTATCACTGATAGAGTCCACTGGTTTCAGATTTAAACAAGACAAAGTGGGCAAACATCATACTGTTTTTTTTAAATGTTATAAAAATATTCTTGTGCAATTAAAATGTTTCTTTCCTCTGATTACAGAAAAAATGAGTGGTGACATCTGTGAAATGGAGAAAATTGTATGTAGTTATGTATATACACGCTACACATACATATGTATTTACATACAATCATAAATTAATGCAAATTACATACATGAATAGGCATTTAAACACAATCCACACAAACATGCATATAATCTCTAATATAAACAGGCATATGCATCCACACACATACGTAGACGTGAACAAAAAACATTACACGTTCATATACACATGTTCTGTTACATGACATAAATAATTGTAAGTGGTATGTTTAACCAGTAGCATAAATAAATGTATATAGAGAGTAGATGCTTTAAACCTGGCCAATCCTAGTATAGGCTATCACCATCATTTTGTTTAAAAAGTGGAAGACTCCAGTGGCGACTGGTGAAGTTTAAAGATGGTGGGGAGCTAGACTCTGCTTTCTGACTTGTGTTCAGCCAACTTAACTCCATGTATTACGCGTGACCAAATGAGATGTCATGTCCTGTACAACACCCTAAGTCCATGCATGTTTTTCTAAAACAGCCATCACTGTAAAGATGGCTAACTACACGTTTACACAATGACAACCCTAGAAGACAGGACAGGTGTTTTAGTGAATTCAGCATATAAAGCCATTGCATGATATCAGTTATCCTGTTAGGACAAACTAAGCATGTCTGTGAGGTTTCTACAAATTAAAAAAAAATGGCAAAATCATGCCATTAGTTGGACATCCCCAAATCATCAATGATGGGGGAGGTGCCTGCACATTCATCAGGAGCACTATTGCTTTCCCAAACAAAAAAAACTGTGCTCCTGGAGTAACACTAGAAAATCAGTCATTGGCTGAATGCATCAACTGATGTACTCTAGATAGGTGAACCTGCAGAGTGTTTTTTTTAAAACCTTTCCATCCAGGGGGGGTGGGAGGGAAATGCCAATGAAATAGTAGAGTCGATTCACTCCTCCCCATCCGAGACTGTAGGAATGATATGACCCATTGAAACTTCCTATTTGAAAGCAGGGGGTGAGCTTATATTTTGAGCAAATTTAAAGACATTATTTCAGTGACTAGTTGCTTCTGGCAGAGAAATAGGTCCATCTACTGACTGTTAATCATAACCATAATTTCAATGGAGGTGAGTGAGGCTTTATGGACTAGATTTCATGCTACAAAATAACTGAAAATAAAAATATTTATACATGATCTGGTTATTGAATGGTTCAAAAATTACCTAAACTGTGATAGATTATAAATGTTTTTTGTTTTTATTAGAATCAGTTGTATTCTATTAGTAATACATATTTTTCTATATATCTGCACAGAGTGAGGTTACCGAAAACATTATCTACACTACGGCGGTGTTTGTAAACAGTGAAAATCCTAAGGTAACAATCACACCATTTCTTAAAAGGAAATAGATATTGCTTCTGCGGTCTGATGACAACCAATTCTGTTTGTAGTGGTGTGCTCATGAAATGTAAAAAAATGTTTTATCTTATAGAAAAATCTTTACTTGGAAACCCATTATCACTAGGTAAAAAAGACAGAGGACCTTCAATTAATATTATTTCCATTGTATTAAAATGTGCCATTTACCCCATGCCTTTATAGACCAACACACAATTCCCTGCTCCCAACAACACATGTGGGACAATTATCATCACAAAATGGGTTGGAAAGGCAAAATCTCACCCGCCACCCCCATAAAAGCACTTCACTATATAATCCCCAATTTCAATTACACCATATGGCACCGCCATGGCATAACACACCTCCACCAACTGCTCCAGGATCGGGAGCTTAGAAAATTTGACTAATTACAAACACTCTATCACCTCAACTCAACAGCTCTCTTCTCCTACTGCCAGGTTCAATCATGGCTCACAAAACAAACAATGACTACCATAGGTAATGTACAGGGACAACAGCTAACAGTGGTAGAAAAAAAATCTGTGCCCGACTCGCACCCCCCAAAAATCTACTTTCCGCTATCTATCAAACGTTACACACCAAGGACGACCATATATCATTCCCATTCACTGCCGCCTGGGAGAAAGAGTTTGCATACACCCTAAGTCTGCAATAATGGAAAGACATAATGCTAGCTCATGGCCCGCTCTCAAAATGTGTGTCCCATATGGAGCTCTCCCCTGCAAAATCCTATATAGGTGGTACCTAGTTCCCACCCGCATTAAGGCAGTGCACCCACAGGCCTCGGACGTCTGCTGGAGATGCCAGCAACACAAGGACACAATGCACCACATTTGGTGGGCATGCCTCTCTCTTACCACTTTCTGGGACAAGGTAGCAAATACCATAGATCTAATCACACAAATATGCTTGCCACGCAAACCAGAAATATTCCTTCTACAACTATTCCCCACAAATCTAAAAAAAAAAAAAGCAGAAATATCTGATTTATCACATAATCACAGCTGCACTAACTGTAATAAGCAGACATTGGCGATCAGCCACTCCACCCCTGATTGCGCAGTGCATACAAACAATCAAAACCACCAAAAAATATGAGCTGGCAGCCAGGCGCACCTCCCTGCAAAAACCAAACTAGACAGAGGTCTGGGAGGGCTGGAGCAGCTATCTGAAGCACTCCAAAGCACCTACCTAATAAGCCTCCATCAGCAGATACCTACAAACTGACACCTGTGTCCCTCCATAAATGGGAAATGGTACTGAAAATGTCACATTGGTTGAAACACCAGAGGCGCTACAATGCCGGAATTAAAACCATGTGACCAGCCCGACCACCGCACTGGGTATAACAGGAGACAGGTGGCAGACAGAACGGAATAGCGCAGTGCACCCCCCCTGCATTCCCCCCTCTCTCTCTTCATCCCCCCACCCTTGAGTCACCCTACTCCCCTACCCCTCAAAGCACCACACAAACCCGACTGTTAAATATGGGACACTGTCCCGCACAGTCCACCCAGATACACAATAAATATGGTAACTGTGAACAAGAATGAAAATGTATACAAATGTGAAAATGAACACACTGTGCTGCCATAAGTTATTACTCTATGTTTGCAAGAAATTGTTAAAGCTGCCGGTTGCGGAATATCTAGCTGAAATGGTGTCTTGAAATGTCAATATGTCCCCCCCCCCTACCTTCTGTACCCCACCTGAAAAACCTAATAAGAAAAATTGAAGTAAAAAAAAAAAAAGTGCCATTTAGCAGCATTAAAGATAATCACTTTTTTTTACTTCTGCCCTGGAATATCTTGTCCATGATCAGCTTTGTCTTCTCATATCTGCATAAGTGTTGCTAGAGGAAGTTTGAGGGCTGAAGCCCCAGATACTTGGCTCTTTACCTTCAGACCTCTTCAGTTGGTGAAGGGGACAGTAGGATATTATTGTTATTTTATTTTTAATTTTACTTCAGATAGCAGCTTCTCAAAGCAGCCACTTATTCTAAAAATAAATATCAGTAGTATACTGCTCCACCAGGCTACTTAGCAAACTGGTGTGGTGCCCCCTGGTCACTTGTGGTAGATTGCGTTGCACAACCCACTATGAGATGGGTAGCACGGTAGAATCACATTGAACTCCATGTCTGTAGAGCATATGCTTTCATTAACATTACGATATTTATGGGTACAGAGGAAGGGACTTAACATAAAAAGATATAACCACATCTCTCTGTTAGTGTAGTGGTCATCAAGGTGTCAGAGTTGGGGATTTCCTTCGCGCTCAATTTCCAGGTGTTTCTGGAACCTAGAAATGCCTCTGGCTGATTGTACATCCAGCTCATCTCAAAACTTCAAAGACAAAATATGGAATCATGTTTCAGTTGTGCAAAGCCCTACAATTGCTATAAGGCGCTATTCTGAAACTACCCTACATATGGTTCTTATGATATTTAGACCACATATGCTACAGAAGAAGACATATATATAACAATGTCATGCCCAAGTACAGAACGGTGAATATGAGAGCCTTCAATTTTAATTAAAGAATCCTGAAGAAGAAAAGAAAGAAGACAGCAACGTATTAGCGTCTGCACTACCTTAATGTAGTATTTACATGTCTGATTAATATTATCTAAGTACACACTCAAGTGTTTAGATTTGTGTTTCTAACATTCTCTTTATTTATTCACAGAGAAGAGAACCTGAAGAAGCAACAGTCTACTCTGTAGTGGCACATAGAAATAACGGAGTAAGCAGTGAGAGTCCGCCAAGCAATGTTGATAATGAAAGCAGCTATGGCAATATAATATCAAATCCACAAACAACAACTGATACCACAGACGTGTATGCAGTCATAAGGAAAAATAATTAAATATTCAAGGACAGTATTGAACCTAAATATCATCAATATCTACTACCCAATATGGACAATATGCAGGCATTTAATCCACCTGTTGTCGTTACCAACGTTAAAAAACAATGCAGTATTGTATCCAAAAGATACATTTCTTGAGTAGTACTTTCACTTTGTATACATATAGATATATTTAATATTTGCATCTGCGAATGAATTAAGTGATTAACCTACTGGCCATCAGCTTATAGGTTGTTGCAAAGTGGGCCAATGAAAGGGTTAAAGAAACACTCAACGTATCATGTTTGACAACTTACCTGATGCCTGTTAGGCACTGGTTACCACATCCTCTGAAGGGCAGAAGCTCCTTCAATGAGCCTCCATTAGCTTTTCTAATGGAAACATTGGATTCACACGTGGTGCTCACCGTGCATGCACACCAGGTCTCAAATACTCCTGTATGAGAAGCATTGGATTGGACCATTGCCAGCAGAGGCCATGCCTCCTCGATGATGTTGTGGGAGGCAGAGAGGTGAGCAGCACCGAGACTCCAAATGAGTCTCGGTGCTAGTTGTAATAATTTTACTGAAAAAGTGGTGCAGACCTGAAAATAACTATGGACAGAGACGTTATAACATCAGGAATACAGGTTTATATTCCTAACGCTACAGTGCTCCTTTAACCATAACAAACAAGACATGCATGTCTCCAGTATCTTCTAAGTTTGTAAGTGATTTATGGATTCATATAGATCCACCTGTGCTAGTGTGCTAAGATATGGAGCATCTATTAAAAATAAATCAATTTCCAAATGTGATTAAGGAGCGAGGTTAAGGACCACTACTGTGTATAGTGATGAAATAATGCCAGATATCTTCAAATTACCCTTTCATTAACAGTGCACTTATATGGAGAAAAATAAATGTGTAAGGGATATTTTAACATGTATAATTTGCAGGTCATTTTTCAGTTAGTTATTTTTTATTGTTTTATTTTTTTTTAAATTCTATTTATGTATTCTTAAAAAACTTAATAAATTAAGATCAACGATTATCAATCCATACTGACCTCCAGGTTTTTGGTTTTTTTTTTTTATTGCAAGCATAAAGCTTCAAATTTAGCTTTACTATCCTCAGAGACTGCATGAGTTACCGGACAGTTAAACAGAACCAAAACAATGACATAATTGATTAAAAAAAAAAACACAAATAAAGCTGCAGACATGATAACAAAAGCCACAGCACTGTTTCTATTAGCTTACACAAATATCCCCATTAATATTTATATGATTTAAACCAATTGTGACCTGGTCTGCTGTGCATCTTGGGGTTTGCAACCCCAAGTGTCTCTTGGTGTATAAATTGTCTTTTTAGAAAACAATACAGTTACAAATATTTTTCAGTATATTGCAGTTTTGAGCACCACTGGGATGTCAATTCCACATTCCAATTCGCCATATTTGTATATAGTAATCATTTAACACAAAGGAAATCAAAATCTTTTATACGGAGATCATCTTAAATCCTATGATAACTTTAAATGTGCAAATCATTTCATTAATGTATTTTGATATTGGTTATTGGAATGTTCACCAAACATTCAGATGTACCTTAAACAAAGCATCTGAGAGGATGATGAAGACTGTGGACAGGAACACTTTCCCACCAGTGTAAAATTGGATTTCAGTTAATATAACCTACATATGCAAAACTATGCAATTGCTAACCATCTGACACAGACTGATTTACAGATTAAAATGGTAATCTGTCGTATTATATTTGGATATTTAGTAACAACAAAAAAAAAACACACAATTTGAAAATGATTGCATAGACTGCACTTTACAGTGAGTAACAACATTTAAAGAAAAATTATTTTTATTTTTTTGTGTGAGCATTTAGGAATATCAATTAAAATGCTAAATGCTTTATTAAAAACACCAAACCACTAATATATATATATATATATATATATAGACACCAACCTGAAAAATGATAATTAAATATATAATATAATAAATTAAGCAGTCATTCTAACCACGCATTACAAAAAACTTTAAGCAGTCATTGGCCACCACTCATTATTGGACATATTAGAATATAATAAAAGTATATTAGATATGTAAAGTGGTATTTTTCAAAAGTTCAACAAATGAACAAGAGAATAAATGGTTAGGTTTTATATCCAGGTAGCAAGAGAGCAAATATTGTAACAAATCAGAAATGTCTTTTATAATATATATTTTTTTAAATTCTTTATTTTAGTAGTGCATATAGTATACATGTATGCTTGCATAGCCACGACAGCCGGTGCAGGCTAGACATAGACATAGAAAAAACAGTTGTATGGCTTATTAACGTTGCACATTTTTAGTTAATACTGAGTATAAAAACAGGCTAAGTCTGAAGCTGCTATGGTGGGTTATGTAGGTTGAGTTATGGTTCATTTCAACGTTGTTACACATAGCCCTACAGCATATGAAAAAGGTGTGCTTTGCTACCTGTTTGGTACATGGTTAAGCTAGTGTTGTTAGTTAAGGCTGAATCATTACAGTGGGTTAGTTGGCGTGTTCAAGTTTAGTAAAATGTATTGTGTTTTCAGGTGCCAGCGCAGCTCTTGGATTGCCACCAAAATAACCGCTGCAAAGGACAGCTGGTTGGCGTAGCTAAGGGGTAGAGAGATTACCATTAGGAGGGAGGGCCCCAGTATTGGTGTCCTCAGTGAGGTGTGCCCTCATCGCTAGCATTGAGAAGTGGCCTAAACAGTTAATTGTAAAACATAACATAAAAGTATAAGAGTAACACCAAATGTCAATGAAAAACGATAAAAACTTCAACATTTGCAAATAGAGACTACATGAGGCATGGAGTGATTGACTCATCTGTAATATTAAGAGTCCCGGTCAGCCAACCCCCGCAAGAGGTATGCCACAGTCCCACTCTGGTGCCTTTGTGAGTCTTGGTCTTGGTCGCAGCTTGTGCTCAGGGGGCGCCCCGTGTTGTGGTTGTGGGACGTTGTTGGGCTGACCTGGTGTTGCCGCCATGTTGGGCCCTGTGTCTCGCTGTCTCCACTCCCGGTCTAGTGTCACTCCCTTCTGAGGTGAGATGAGTCCCATCTGGGAAGCCTTCTGCTTGCCCGTGTGCCTCATGCTCCGAGGTTCTCCGCACTTCCGTGCCCTGTCTGCCGTCGAGTAGCACAGACCATGAGCCGGTCTAGGCCCAGAGGTTCCTCTTCGTGTCTGTAGGTGTCGCTGCATTATGTGCCTCTTCCGACTGTGTGGAGCACGGTGTCGGTCTTTGCCGGATCGATGGTGGGGCGGGAAGGCAGGCTTGCATTGGCGCCCTGCTTGGGTGAGTGAGGGCGTTTGGCGGCTGCCGGTTCGCTTGATGGGAGTGGGTGAGTGATGCTCGCCTTGTAGAAGTGGGTGGTCGTGGTGAGGCAGGTTGGATTAGCTTACCCACCAGCTTCCTCCAGAATGCCTCGAAGTGGTTGTTTATTCGAGTGAGGACATCTTGTGAAGTGTCGCTGGGGTTGTAAGCACATGTTGTGTCCGCCATCTTAAGGAGGTCTCCGTTTACTGTCTTTGGCGTCATTCCCCTTCTCATCATGCTCAGGGTCGCCACCCCAGGGTGGACCGGGATCACCCCCGCCGGTCCGAGGGGGGGGTAGCAGGGCTTGCTTGTGCGGTGGGCAGCTTCAGGGTGCCTCCAGGACAGGGGAGCGGCCGCCTCCCTCGCCCGATGCAGACCAGGCCGCAGTGTCGGTCGTGATTTCATCTGGCCCCAATCAAGTCGCCTAAGAGCCCATTGTGTGCCCTCCATCGTGGGTGGCATGTGGGTGCCTAGAAATGCAGTTTGTGTCGCTTGGGTGAGCAGATTTTCGCTTGTTTTGTCAGGATTTTGTGGGAGCTCATGGAAAACACGACTCTCCGCCATGATGGTCAGGCCCCGCCCCCTTTTATAATATTTTTTAATGTCTTTTTATAATATTTCTCAATATCCATATAAAGAACATTGGAAATTTAAACCATTTAAAAAAAAATGTTTTTTAACCACTTGACCTGGGATTTTCCAAAATGCCATTCCTCCGTGAGAAAATCATTTTTGGCAGTTTTACTTTTTGCACAGTTTTTTTCCCCACTTTCCCATTAAGAAGTAAATAAAATGTTTCATTGTATTGCTTTCAATTATTTCTACAAAACTAGTGTAAGTAAAGAAAAATAAGCAAAAATTGTTAATTAGTCCTGACTGTTAAAATGCCAAAATGTCTACCATTTAAATTTTCTTTTTGATTGATTTATAGGACAAATAATGAAAGGAGGGAATTATAGTTTTAAAGTGAAGTCTTTGCAAAATCTACTCTGCAGATACTATAACAATAATAAGATAAACAAAATTCAAAATTGTACATAAAAGTGTTAATTTTGTAGAAAACAAATCTCTAGGGTAAGGAAGAGCTTTTTGCCATTTTTCAACTTTCCATCTAATCACCAAATTCTACTAAATCTGCTATGAGCCCTCAGGGAAATTAGACACCTAGTGTAGTGGCCAGCAATAGCCCATTGGCCCACTGACACCTAATCCCAGCATGCATTGCTGCCACCAAGTTTTAGCTGCCTATCACAGCACAGGTCATGAGTTTCTCAAGTCCATTAGTCCACCAACATAAATTGCAATGTGATGAAATTAATGCTTTGCCACAGTAGCTTAGAAAAAAAACCTACATTGAATGTAAATAGTCATTGATAAATGCTTTATCAGGGTCAGAGCTGAGTAGAAAAACTAGGAGCGATCTATACAGTAGGAAAATTAACAGATTAGACTGATTTATCAGTAAACTCATTTGAAAAAGTTTCCTCAGAAAAAGAACCGAAAAGTAAGATTTGACACGATCATTCTTAAAAGGAAAACTGCGGTTTTAGATAAATCTGTCATGAGGTTTATTAATTACAGCTAGACTCTCAAAAATCAAAGAAAATTTTAACTGGAAAATATCTGACCTAAAATAGGTTGCTCCTTTCAAACAATGATGTCAACCAAAGTATGAACTCAATAAGGAATCATATAAATGAGGTATTTCAGAACATTCCATAAGGGACATGATCCGATAACTCAAAAAAACTAGATTACAAAAAAAAGGAAGGGAATCACATCAAAACCAGAATTAAGAAAATGTCACTAGAAACAACTGTAGCAGCAAGTCGTAGTAAATTCCAAATTAGTGTGGTAACCAATATACTCACAGTAACTGGAATAAACAGCAATAAGTGTAAATTGATAACTGTCTGATACAATTAAGATGAAGGATGTGAATAGTTCCCACTGATAGATGGACTTTGACTACCCATTGAGACAAAACCAATAGGTCAATTATTTCTCCCAGAGGGCAATCCCTCAGATTGAAAGAAAGGATTCTATAAATAAATAAACCACAGCCAGTGGCGTACACACAATCCATGGGGCCCCGGTGCGAAACTGATCTGTGGGCTCCCCACACCCCCCACACCCTCCACTTCCCCTCTCGCCCCCAATCTGTGCCCTCCCATACCCACTGACACATACATACAGACACACACACACAAACATACACACAGACATACACACACATACAGAGACACACACACATACACCCCCCAATAGACACATACATACAGACACACACATATATACACAGACAGACACATACATACACACACATACAGAGACACAGACAAACACACACACACACATACAGAGACACAGACACACACATGCATAGAGACACAGACACACACATGCATAGAGAGACAGACACACACACATACAGAGAGACAGACACACACACATACATACAGAGACACACACACATATACAGACACACACACATATACATATACAAAATGTTTCCTACCTTGTGACTTTCCCTGGGGGCTCAGCCTGATGGGAGTCAGAGTTCCCACTCTGACTCCTTCCTCCTCCTTTCTCCCGCGCGGGTCATGATAGCTGGGAGGAGTGACCGGGGAGTCACTTACTCCCAGCAGTGATGTAATCACAGGGGGCCCGGTAGCGCTGTTAAAG